TAAGTTCTGTAGTTATGCTCAATCGATGGAAGCGGCATTTTCAAATGTCAAAACCAAAGCAACAAATGGCCACTTACTTATTTACGGGCTACTATTATTATTATTATTATTATTATTATTCGATATTGTTGTTATTCAGACGTTAGAGGTATTTGTTACTTCATTTTATATTTACCCAAGCATAAAAGCCCCCATTCCCCCAACTTTACATCGCGAACTCATGCCTCATACGGAAACGAATTAAACGCCCAGTAGTATGACACGCCATAGAGATCGACGGATAGAACTCTTACGCTGGCGTGCACTGATTCGTGGGCTACAATTCGATTTCAATGTAATAAGTTTTCATGCTATGAAATACATACGTGCCATATACCATAAATAAATAAAAACGTCGTCAACCAAAGTAATTGATATCCCCCCGTCCTCCCCTTTTTTTCTCCTAGGACTTTCAGGACCTTTAAGTCTTTAAGGGAAGAACATTAGTGTTTGACGATCCAAAAATAGCTTGATCCACCGGGCGGCAAAGGATTTTTTTTTTCTCGCAAGTTCACAATTTCCAATTCTTGGCCTAAAGTGGCGGCGGCCTGCGACCTGCAACGCAACTTGACATCACAAGCGTACCTATTCTCTATCTTACCTAGTGAAACTCGGTTTCTTTTCATGCCATGTCAGCTCCGAAATGGAAAGGGGAAAGGTCATCTTATTAACCCTTTTTTTTTTTTTACACTGTAGCTTTTACAACCCCCCCATCCATTCAACGGTATTACTTGCAGCAACAGCAGCAACAGCACGTCAGCTAGGTACTGGTCATCTGTAAAGTAACCGAACATCTACATATAAACTAAGACATGATGGAAGAGGCTTGACAAAATATGCACATTATCTACAAAATTCAACATTATGTATTTGCCTCTTACGTTTGTGGATTTATTTGTGTACATTTAGGCCGTAAGAGCCTCGGTTATCATACGATATTGAAACAGGGCATTTGATGCCTAAAAATATACCCTGAATGACTTGCTATGCAAATCATAAGATGGAGATGATAGAAAGATCCGGTAAGCACCGGTACCTCTACTGCAATATGTGAATCATGTTAATACATCATCATCATCATCATCATCATCATCATCATATACGTACGTGTAAATTTGCCAACTCGTCAGCAACCAGCTTCATGGCCTAAGACAAGCCAGGCTTGCGTACTTAGCTGCCAAGTATTACGAGCTCACGTTTTCAAACATCTTCGGTTATTCAACTTCAACACTAATACTATGAGCTTGTCCCCTCACTTCCCTCCAGTACCACCAGCGTGTATTGTGACATTATAGGTGTATCCAATTGCCTCGCTCGCCGTTATTAAAGCAATCATATTTTGCTTTCTTGCCGGCTTCCTAGCCGCAGGCCACGAATTCGAAAAAGGGCGCGCCGAGTCAAGTTCTAGCTCAGTCGAGGCTCTGCTGATCCCGCATCTAGACTACTTCGATCATACCGCAGATCCGAAAAGAAAAAAAAGAACCGCGACTTCGGACCAAGGTCCACCCCTATTACACCTCATGGCCGCTACTATCAATCAAGCTCTCGGATCTCTCCCCGCCTTCCTATGTACATAGTACTATTATTACGTCCCAGAGGAGTTCTCCTTACCGAAATTCCAACTACCTTTCCAGTTACCTTACTGTACCTCACGTGGCGCACGGGTAACCATCCCTAATTCTGTCTTCTGTCTTCTGTCTCCTGCAGGCTGTTATGCATGTCACGCAACCAAGTAAAGTCATCTTCGCTTAATACCTAATCAGGTATATAATTCTTACTTAGCCCCTATTGCGCCTTTGATAATGCTCTGATCTTAACAACCTATCACCATTCCGAATTGGCAAATTTAAGTAGCATTAGTACAGCACTCCTGCATTCATAAGGTATCATCGTTACGATCAGTTTTCATCATCATCCATATAGGAGTACAATAATTAATAGACATACAAACCTATTGCCAATGCAGTTTCCTCTCTCCTATACTTACTCTCTTTCAAGCGAGTGTAAAAGGTATAGCTTTCAGAATGATGAAGCTCAATCGCTTCTTACTGGGAGACCTATGTTCTGATTCGCTCTGAGAGGTATGTATGTTTGTCGTGTTAGATCTTGTCTTCCACGTAGTTATATATACCTCATAGCCAGCCCTAGTAGGTGTACACATGTGTTAAGGTATGTCCTTAGCTTCTTTAGTTCGGAATCGAAATAGTAGATAACAAATTCTACCGAATGTGCAGGAAACTTCCAAGACACTAAGTATTATTCTTAAGACTACCTCTATGTCTTGATGTATGATTGGTTATCTTTGTAGCTCATTTCTACACGACACAGAAACGTGTATCAGGTCAGCATGTCTCTTCCTGCCAGATATGAAACTGGTTTATTAAACTGGGTATAGCCTTTGCATCTCGCTGCAGCAGGTTGTATAACCCTTCAAAGAAAAATACACTAACTAGTGAAACAATTATATTAAAATATACCACTTGAGTATACTAGGTACATTAAGCTACGATCATAAATCTGCCGTGTGGGTAGATATAAGTTAATTGCCCAGTCAAGAATCTCAAGTGAATTATGTGACAAACTCTTTAAATTAGCTACTCTACTCTCTAGTATGTGACATTATGTCAAACGGCACAAGAAAGCAACTACCCAACAAAGGTAAAGGAGCTCGCGTTCCTCGGCCACCATCAAACCAGAAACCTCACCAGCCAACCATACCTCCCGCCCCTAATGACAGAAGACATGCTGCCCTTCATGGTGATCCTAAGGTGGCCGTTTCGGCACAGATGTGGAGGAATGTCAACCAAGCTATAGAAAAGACGGTAGATATAATACTCAGTAAAAAGACAGCCCCGAAGGGCTTTGGACCTGACTGCTGGGAAATGGACGAAGGTTTTGGGGTGGCCCTCGTGGCGGAAATAAGACGAGAAATTAAAGAGGACTGGACATTAGATAACCCCAAGCTCCAGAAGAAGCTAAAGGAAGTGGCTCGTGATATAACAGCAAGGAAATTCCGTTTTCCGTTCAAAGGTGGCGGAGTCTGGTTTTGGTTTAAAAGTGAGTTTACTTTCATCCCCTCCTTTTCCCCTCTAACTAGTCTCGAGGGCCAGGATTTTCATCAATGCCCTTATCCACAATAAGGCACTTATTAACATACTACTGTAGTAACCGATCTTCATAAAGCTACCCAGCCGATAGCCGAAATCCAGCAGACAGGCACTCCGTCAGAGGCTGACACGGTTCTTAAAAGTACGGATCACGAAACAGAAACCAAAGCTAGAGGAGATGATTCCGCTCAACAAAAAAGGGAATCTGCTGCTGAAGAGGCCTCATCCGAGTTACATTTCGACTCACATTGAATCTATAAAATGTAGATATTTATATCCGTACCCTTTCGTGGTGCAAGTCAAGGTATCATGAATACCTAGATATAGTAATAATTACATGTAACCCCCTTCTGGAACTGTCACCGAAAACTTCAAGATATAATTATATCCACAGCCCAGGATGTTGTACTGTGTGTGATAGACAAAGGAAGCCCCCTTCTAATTTCTATACCTCAGTATAAGAGCATAGTAGTATCCCTATGATCACTTGATGCTTTGTGCATACTTCGATAACAATATTCCTGTTTGGATAACTAGGCCTTGTAGATAACATAGAGATGGTCCCCTTTGTCAAGTTGAATGCGGTAATAGCTTACCCCCCCTAATATGGATTGGCATAATGTTAAAAGACAAAGGATAACCCACCGACTTCTAAACTCTGCATCTACAGCTCTATTGTTTACTAGGTCAATATTAAAAGCTAACAAAATTTACCCTTTTGCAGTATATTTGGCCTTCCTAGAAGTCCATAAGTATATACTATTCGATCTAATACACGTCAGAAGACATCATTAAGGAGGCGAACATTAAATAGCTACAGAGATAAAATAAATATCCAACATAGCCATCAAAACATAACTTAGACCAAGTTACACAATGTCAAACCGGGCGCAGGAATGGGCGGAGCAATGCGAACTGACAGTTCGCAAAATGTACGTAAACCAGGAGCTACCTCCTGTGATATCTTTAAACCACTAAGCTTCCTAGGATAAATTATTACTGACTCTAACTGTTGATCAGAATGAAACGCGGATTCTCGATTGAATGCTTATATAGAATGTCGAGCATCGAGCTCGGCAAGGAGCTCAGAACTGGCGTGATTCTGGTAATCTCGAGTGGTAACAGAGCGGTTTACAACGTCGACTACCGAGACCCGGGTATTAGAGAAGGACTCTTCTATATGGCACGACACGGCTTGGATGAGAAAATGGTCATATACGGGCTGGGCTTTCAGTTCAAAAAATATCATTAGATGGTACTAGGTATTAGGATTGAGGGACGCGGGTATTCCTTAAACTTACTATGATGTGATAGTTTGGTACCGGAAAAGGAGTGTTCTAGTTATTCCATCACAATACATCTATTAAATTTACCCTATAATATTTCATAATAGGTATCTGTACGAATAGAGCGCGAGCTCGTGGTTGTGCCATGTAGCGTATTATGATGAGTATACATAGGCGAGATGTGTAGACGATGATGTACAGAGTGAGTAATACCGTATGCCGTCTGAATAAAATCGAACAATTATGACATGGTTAAGACTCTTATAGAAGAAAGCGTTGGCCGTGATCTCGCAGGTATCCGGTGCCACTTGATGATTTCTATTGTAGTATAGAATTATAGAGAATATATATATCAGGGGCCCAATCCGCTTAGGAAAGCTCTGAAAAGGAGTGGCAATATCAAGCATATATGTGCCGCACCTAATGCTATGGCGAGGTTGAGGACATGCTCTGGTATGTCTGCCTTTCTGTTCAGCATTGAAAATCCCGTAACGCTCTTCATTGCTGATAGAAATGCGAATCTCAGAACTGACATATAATTCAGTCATACCGATTCCAACTTCTGTTCCTAACGAGCGGTAATAAGGCTCATATAAATGCCCCAGCCAACGCCAGCAAGGCTACCGACCAGGTTTCGGCCCTGGATGCTTGTAATAAAGGCAAAGTTGATCAAGCTTATGACTGGCCACACCTTCCATCCAGCGACGAGGAGCTCGTAGAACTCAGCGCGGCTACGAGCGATCACACTCGCCCAATTGACTTTACTATAGTTGATAGCACCACGAGAGAATAGATACTGGGCGCTCTTCGCTGGGCCGCTAAGCGGTACACCTAAGGGTCGTAGCATAGCTTCTTGGATGGAATGTATAAATAGGCTGAAGAGAAAGGTGTTGACGACTGCGCCGACGGTTTGGTCTAGAATCATCTTGACGGCCGTGTTGCCAATGTGAAGTTTACGTTCTACCAACTTGCCCTCTTCCTCTTCTTTCTCAAGCGCCTTCTCGTCGTTTGCTGCCGCGGAAGCCACAGCGGCGGATGTAGGCGTTATATGGTACGCCGGGAAGGACTCCTCTAGAAACTCTTGCCTGGTGGACGATTAGAATGGACCCTTTATAAGCACTCGATGTAGTATATTCCTATGGGACTAATGCGACTTTAAACGTACCATAAGAAGTTAGGTGGTATATTGAGAAATGCGTAAAGGACAAATTGGAAGACTGGCACCCAGTCGATAACAAGAGGAGCCTATAGATTGCGTTAGTTCAAGCTTAATAGGATATTTACTGAGAAAGGTGGCTATATGGCCTTGAAGACTCATATTCGACGGTAAGCATTTTCTTTGTTTTGAAGGAATTAACCCATACCTCATTCTGATACGCCGTCAGGCCTTGCGCTAGAAGGTTAGATGTAGCCGCAAGAACCGCAGATTGAATAGTAGCTGTGATAATCGGAGAAAACGCCATGTCGACGTATTTGAAGGTTGCCTGCTTGACTGGTAATCACACTTTGGAGAAAATCGTATATTTGCCGGCTCAATTTTGAGAGATTAGAAGTGAGATGAGCTTAGGCAGAGGATGAGGTTACACGTATGTATATACACGTACGTATATAAATATAAATAAGTCTTGGTTACCAGTCAAATATTAGTCAAATATTATTGGCCTGCCTAGGTACCCAACCTAGGCACGTAGGATAACGAGGTAGGAATCTAAAATGTTAAGCCCGTCAGAATTAGCAAAGACCAGATCTACCAAAAGTTGGTGCATACATGGATAAGGTATCCAACCAACCAACCAACCAACCATGAACATCTACATACTGTTACGACATGCATATATAGAAAAGCACTGTTCGATAACATCTTTAAAGAATTGTTTTATTTTATTTTATACTATTTCGAAGGGTGATATATAGCCTTGATCTTACTTCACTACCGTATTCTTTAATTAGAGCGAACCCTGTAAGAGCCAAGATTTGTTGCTTCTATACAACAGTATCTTTAAGTATGAGAGATGCTAGGCTTCGTGATTTTTTTTTTTTTTGGGAAGCGCTCATTATGAATCTGAAAGAGCCACTAATAGAACTTGACTGGCGTATCTACGCCCTGCTAAGAATCCACATAAATAGAAATTGTACAAGATACGAGTAAGCGAACAAAAACTGTGTCCGCTGGTTTCGTTTTGTCCGTGTGTCTGTTTGCATCGGACCTCGTGCATCCCCTCCAGAGCTCTCTGGTAGTAGAACATATCGTAGCGACCGCATCTAACCATACTTTATTAGTGTTGCTAAGGCAATACCCCTGAAACTGAAAGGATCATACTCACCAAAAATAGAGAATTTGCTAGAAATGTGTAAAAGAAGATCGTCCACCCGATCCAACCGCCAGTTCCCTTACCACCATTCATGAGCTCGGCGATGGTTACTGCTACAATGATACCGACGAACTTATAGCCTGAGTAGGCTACAAGGTCTAGGAGCTGAGACTCGTTCGAAATACTAAGAAAGTAGCAGCCTAATTTCAGGAGCAATATCTCGAGTATGACGACGACTCCGGCGGTAGATGCTGTATATCCTAGCAACTCAGGCTGGAACTGACCCCGTAAACCTGCTATTAGCGTTGATAACAATATGTATGTAACAAGCGCCATGACTGGAATGTACATATCGGGGCTGTTGATATCGTCGCGCGGTGGTAAGTACCAGCCCTCCTGTCCGTTAGGTCCTACAGCTTGTCTTCGCGACCAAGGCTTGTGGCGCCAGGGGAAGAGCACTAAGAAGAGCTTGTTGATGACATATTTGTTGGAAACGTTAAAGTAATGCTTGAGAGCGGAGAAGTTGACCCATCGGTTCATCTGACAATATAGGTGTCAGCAGAGGTATAAGCTTCACTTTGGGCCTGAGGAGTTTGTAACTAGACCTACATTTTGCTCAACGTGTTTGAAAGCATTTTGGCCGACTGTTCCCACGAACTGAGCGGCCATGGGATCATTCATGAAGTTCCCATAAGTGCCAAAGACATTACTACCAGCGGCGGGCGTTCCCTGCTGGTAAGGATTTCCATATGCGCCTTGTTGTTGGGGTTGCGACGACGTTAGAGGTGGCGGCGATCGTAACTGTGGAACGGTAGAGACGTGTTGAGGTACGGGATGGTGAAGCGGCGGAGAATGGCCATAGTTTGGATGTTGCTGCATCTTGGATCTTGGATCTTGGATCTTAGTCTCGACTACGAAAAAAGGTTGTTAAGGTTGGTCGGGTTGGTTTGTTGAATTGTAAAGCTTGGATAAGTGAGGGCTGTAAGGCTCATTGGCGACTTTGTTCTGGAGATGTGTTTTTATTTTATTTTAATAAGAGGTTTGTTGTACAAGTACTAAATGCTAACTAAATGTTGTACGTATATGTTGCAGCTGCTGTAAGCTGCCTTGTCAAACCCACTGTTCCGAGATTATTCCATTTTGAAACTACCGGGTACATATGTTATGCTAGGTACCTAGGTACCTGATGCACCTAGTTCACCCCAATTGGCACCTATGACGTGCCGGAGCCGCAATAAGGTTTAATTCCGAGTAACCTAGTCTCCGTAATCGGGTGTCGATTGGTTCGATTAAATCAAATGCATGGATATATAGGTACATCTGCAGTTTGCCAGCTGAGAGCGCTATAAATGTACATATATGTAGGTACTTGCCGTAGGTACATAGGTACGTATGCTACTTTTCTACTACTTTTCTACCCTTGTGGCTCTTGTGGCTCTTGTCGCCTCGTAACAACTTATCGCTTCATCCAAATATGCAAGCTTCGGAAATTCTATGCTCTTCTTTTCTAAGTAGCTAAAGAAAAAGAAAAGAAAAAACACTATCCAATATGTTGGATACATTTGAAATCCTCACCACTTCCGGGGTCGTCCTCTGGTCGCGAACCTATGCGCCGGTCAACCCGTCCGTTATCAATAACTTCATTTCCGACGTTTTTATCGAAGAAAAGGGCGCTGTGGCCGGCGCAAGGAATAGTCAACCCGCAGCCAGCAATCCATCATACAAGGCCGATCAGCATACCTTGAAGTGGACGTTTGTGAAGGAGTTAGGCGTGATCTTTGTTGTACGGTGCTATTCCTACTTGATAATGCCCCTATGTTGTCTAACTGTTTCTAGGCTGTCTACCGGTCCCTACTGCACCTCTCGTGGATCGACAAGCTTGTTGATAATTTAAAGACTATATTCATTGACTTATATGCTGATCAATTGAAGAAGCCCAATACTACCATCGTGGAATGTCGCAAATTCGACGAATACTTTGACCAGCAATACCGAGAACTCGAGTCAAGCGGGTCTACCAACAGCGCACGACCGGCTGCTGTTACTTCTCTATTAGAAGAGAATTTCATATCAGGAAATACTAGAGATGAACCCCCTCTTCCACCGGGTCTCAAGCATAGAGGCAAAACGCAGAACAATCCCTACGAGCGTCCATCTACTGCTGAATCTACCCCGAATACTTCCCGGCCTTCTACCCCTAGCGGAAATCATCTAGTAGTAGCAAAGGGCGGTCCTATAGGGAAGATGTCAAGAAGAGCCAGAAAGATGAGAAACAGTTCCGCCCCCATCTCCTCCGGTGATGAGGGACCAGCAAGGAAAGCAAAGAAAGCACCCAAGAAAGGTCGTAAGTGGGATGCCGATGGCTTTGCCGACGAAGAAGATGATAGCCTACAACTGGATTACTCGGCAACCCAGAATACTTTAACAAGCGATAGTGAAGTAGATGCAGCTGCTCGGTCGACGGCTGGAGAGGGGGTGGACTCATCTTCATGGGGAACGAAGACTTCTAAGGGACAGTTCGTGCTGAAAGACTTGGATGATGAAGTACATTCCATTTTGGAGTCGGCCGAGGCGAAGAATACTTCAAAGCGAGAAACGAAAGGTGGCTTAGTTGGAACTGGGTTGAACACAATCAGCAGCCTTTTCCGCAACGTGGTGGGCGGTAAGACATTGACGAAAGAAGACCTCGACAAAGCTATGAAAGGGATGGAAGACCATTTACTACGGAAGAATGTTGCTCGTGAAGCAGCTATACGGCTTTGTGAGGGTGTTGAGAAGGAGCTTCTTGGTGTGAAGACGGGCAGCTTCGAGAGCATCGATGCACGCATCGCTAAGGCCATAGAAGCCTCACTCACTAAAATGCTTACACCTACCTCATCGTTAGATCTCTTGCGCGAGATAGACTCTGTCATCAAGCCCCCTATGACATCAATGCGAAAGCCGAGACCCTACGTTATCTCTATAGTTGGAGTCAACGGAGTTGGCAAGTCGACTAATTTGTCTAAGATTTGCTACTTCCTGCTGCAAAATAAATACAAAGTACTAATTGCAGCTGGAGATACCTTCCGATCAGGAGCTGTAGAGCAACTAAAGGTCCATGTGCGGAATTTGAAGGAGCTGACCGAACGTGAAGGTGGTAAGGTGGAAATTTTTGAAAAGGGGTATGGTGGCGATGCTGCCACGGTCGCCAAGGATGCCGTGAGAGAGGCTGCCAACGAAGGGTTCGACGTCGTACTCATCGACACAGCTGGACGGCGACACAACGATCAGAGGTTGATGTCGTCGCTAGAAAAGTTTGCCAAATTCGCTCAGCCCGACAAGATTCTAATGGTTGGCGAGGTAGGATCTATTAAATCCTCCTTATCAAACGACCACCCTGCTAATTTCATGATAATAGGCACTAGTAGGAACAGACTCGGTCGCTCAAGCAAGGAATTTTAACTCGTCCTTCGGTCCTGGCCGAACGCTAGACGGATTCATCATCTCCAAATGCGATACAGTCGGCGACATGGTGGGAACTTTGGTCAGCATTGTCCATGCTACGAACGTGCCTGTCTTGTTTGTTGGTGTTGGACAACATTATTCAGATATCAGGAACTTTTCCGTGAAATGGGCAGTGGAAAAGCTGTTGAGTAATAGTTAATTCGGACATCTACTAATACCGAGAGGGCTCTCCCGTAATATCTATAGATTCATAATATAAGAAGCCCTGTTCACCATTGGATTCCCCATATTGACGCTAAAACGAGAAATAAATTACGTGTGCTAATGAGGAATAGAACCGTGCATTATCAAATCTGTCGGGCAAAAGACTATCTATTAGTGCTAGTGACTACCGCGTGGAGTCCATGTCTTCCCCTGGGGGGAGTAAACTACAAAACTCTTGCTGTCGATTCCCTCCGGTATGGCAACTTGTCTCCCAGCATCGATCATGGTCCAGTAGTCCTCCGTTCCTGAAGTGAGATCATAAAATTCGCCACGTCGATCTATAGTTGTCATGCTAGAAAATGTAACATTGCTGAAGATCGGTAGATTTTCTCTGTCTTTTGCAATGTCCCATTCCTGGAAGAACTGGGCGACACCAGAGCCAAGACAAATCTGAAACTTTGGGTCCTTAGGTGAGTCTGCTTCCACTTCCGCTGTATATTCTTGGCCGGTGCGGAGGTTCTTCATATATCTTTGGGAGAGGCGTTAGATCATTATCATAAATACGGATATTTATAATGGGAGTCGGGTGGGGCTTCACTTACACATGGCCCAATATGCGAGTGTACACATTTACGACTACCATTATCTGGTCACCAGGACTGACTGCAAAATTTTCCTTGGGGATGGGGTGGGCTCCGGCTGGAAACCACTCGACCCAGGCACCCGCAACGATCGCGCCATGCTCGTCCATCTATATTGGGAGATAATTAGCACTTTCGTATCGAAATCGAAATCGAAATCGAAAGAGAGAGAAAAAAAATAGCTTATTTACCTCGATATTCGTCCCTGCCTGGAGAAATGGATACCAATTCTTATTAGCACAGCCGTTCCCAAGAATCCCGACCCACTGTGCTAGAGAATGTCGGTTATTGGGGTTGCTGAGGTCTGCATTGTCAGGTGCTTTGCTCCATGGTATATTCCACTCGGCGGAAACAGTGCGTATGGCGGGTAGTTCCTCTTCTTTTCCTGTGGTTTCGGTTTGGTTTATATTTATAACCGCGCCTCCGAGGAAGGAAGAAACGTATTTGCTCATGCCTAGGCCGATAGGCCATCTTCCTCCAGGGGAGCCGCTAGCAAGAGCGACAAGCATGCAAAAGCACCAGAGAGTGAGAGTTGGTACGTGCATGGCGAAGTTGTTGTTGTATTTTGTTGGATGAAGCAGCGTAAAAGAATGGAGGGAAAGGTAGAAAATATATAAACGAGAAGCAAATCACATCCGAAGTTGGAGGTTTCGAGCTAGAGATTACACGATACCCAACAGTCACTACCTAAGTACTCATATATATTCGCTATTAATTATTTATATTAGTTTGCTCTAACAACGGTCACCTAGGTGGACAGGATCTACGATCTCATTACTGGGGTAAAGGACACACGTATATTGAAGACTATATTCCACACGTGTTGTCCCGGTCTTTCGGGTCTGTGAGTCACTTTATATCAAACCTGGCAAACATGACGAAATTCAGGACCTATCAATGAAATGAAACTAAGTAAATAAGGAGAGGCCTTGATGTAAATCGAGGCGATCAGCTTCGTTTTCTCATACTAATTAGGTCGCCCTTATAACCCTATTTACCTTATTATCCTAGATAGCACTGCTATCTTAACCTGTGCTAATCCAGGTACTTTATATTGCAATATCCTTGGATTATAAAGTTGTGTAGCTTATCAAATAGGCTACGGTGTAAATCGCAAATGGTACACACCAAACCTAATATAAAAGCTATAAGTGTCGCTTACGATCTCATCCTTGGCAATGAAAAGGTTTAACCTCAAGCTAATAGGATAGTAAATAGACTGTGGGTACAAAGGTAATGGCTAGAATGGACCCCGAAATCTCCTGCTTCTTAACTTACCTAGGCAAGATATGCGTAATAGAAAAGCAGTATACTCTTTACGTCCCCAATTGCGGCGAGTGGAGTGAATAGATGCCTCATAAATAAAGAGTATGTAGTTTATATGATGGATCAATGTAGGTTAACCCTTACACGGATAAGCAGCCGACTCTAGCAGTCCATATAGAAAGCTCATGAAATCTGATTTCCATGTCTGTATTTATATGACGTATGATTGAAGTAAATTGCTATCTAGACAATATCCCAGGTAATCCCGGGCAAGTTCATACCGGAGCTAACGTGGCTAGTTTATACCGAGTCCTGCATGAACAAGGAACGGTGAACTTAATGTTATTAGTGGTCATGGTAGAATAAGCAAACAGGTATGGTCCGGGGAAAGATGGAATTATCTTGGTGCTACTGTGGTAGCTCGAGCCGCGTCCCGGGTGTCTGGGATTGACTACAAGTAAATGCGTAAGACTGATTGGTGGATCGTCTCGGGACGTCTCAGGCGAGATGACAGCCGTTGATGTAGGATAATCTGATCGACATCAAGAATCGGTTAGAAGCGAGTATGCATTGAGGAGGTCCATAATCCAGCGAGGATCAAATATTTACGCATTCCCAAGTTCTAACATAAAAGTGTGTTTTTGAGCTATTGAGCCACCTTGGGCGAGAACGTTTCTCAACTTAAAATCGGGGAAACGAAACTTAAGCTTGTAACTCATCAACCTCAACAGTTTATCTTTTTTTTTTTTTTTTAATTTACTTTAAATTTTTTTAAAATTTTTTTTTTTTTAAATTTATATATGAATATCATAGGATGCAGCTGTCTTATGTATATATATATATATATTATGGAAGCGAGTGGGAAAAAGGACTTATACAATAGACTAGTAATAGACTATGTGGTATTAGCGGCGGTTAATACAGTCCCGGTCTCTCAACTGTCCTGTTGTAGCCTAGGGTTTACCGGCAACCCCCACATCCCAAGCTAAGGTATGATGTAAAGTGTCCCGGACACCTGCTGATCAAAGCCGTTGTTACCTTGCTAAATTTAAGCTTAGTGTAACTATGCAGTTATAGTTGCAGTACCGTGCTTGTATTGATATAAAACTTACAAGGATATTAGCTACTTCGCTTTCTATGTAAATATATTATATGAGATATGTAGAATATAAGAGAGACTCGGCCTACCCTTTCGGTCAATAACGGTTTGAAGAAGGTACCTAAGGTATGTAAGTGGGGGCGAGTGAGGTGTCACGGAAGTCAAAGTACACTTTTAGTTCTGGGTTTAGAGTTTTTTAGCCTTAGCAGCCCTTGGCCAATGCTTTAGCCGATGTAGCGTTAAAAACTAGCGGACCCGGTGAATCGATCAGGAGGGAGGGGAGATCCCATGGACCCATGGGCCATAGCATAGGTATTTTCCATGGCGCCAATTGCTTTCTCCAGTTCCAATACAACCAACCAATACTATCAATGTCTTTTGACAGGTCGTCCACATTTTATGTATATTTACATACTTATACCCAAGTTATTAATATGGGCTTCATGTAATATTATTAATTCCTATAGTTATTTAATTCCTATTGTTTTCTACCTCGACTTCATACCCTCTGGAATGACTGTTATGTACGATTGGATACCCTCTCCGCATCTCGTCAATCATTAATTCTGTGAAAACCTCATTCCGCTCGTCATCCTGTCGTCTTACCAACGTCAATGCAAACCATACGAGTTGCTGCATCAAGTAATGAAGGCGCCTATATTGAACTATTATACCTAACTAAGATTACTCTCGAAGCTATCTTTCAACAAACCGAAAAATCCTACAGGAAATCCTTCAAACATACTATGCTTATAGATCAACACAAACAGTGAATGCGGCCATTATTCCGACCAATCCGACCTGTCACGCTTCACCCGCCCTCGCCCTCATCCTCGCTAATACACCCCTTACCCTTGCCAGTAGCTCCGTTCTCGTTGGGAGTTTCTCGGCCAATCTCCACGTCCTCTACCACCCCGCGACCTAATTTGCAGCCCAATCACTGTATCGTATCATTTCTATCTAGCTAGCGAAGCTGGCAGTCGGCTGCTTGAATCAAATCAACCAAAGCCTTGTCCTCGAGTCTGACTTGTTTCGTTCCTTCAACGTCTGATCATTTCCTTCTGACTGACCGCATGTTTTGGTTGCCTGGTAGCCTACCTGCATTTGCAAAACCTACGGCTGTGACTACTGCTATATTACTACATTACTACATGATTCAAACACTTTCTAAGTCGTACCGTCACCGTCTCTATCCTAGGTATCTGTTTGTTATGGATGCCGCGGTCTCTCTATAATAATCATCTATAATAATAGGCACTTAGCGTTTGTCGCTGTCGGATTACGGACACTTGCATAGTTGCTGCACTCGACAGATCATTATCAAATCTGCAATCAGATCACGCATCATAAAATCTGGTCCAATATCTTAGCCGGGTTTGTTATGGTATTCTCCACAATCTGCCCACTCAGGCATTGCCGGTTGGCCGCATTCCAAAGGTCCATAGTCACCGGTGCTAGGATCTATCGACGCGCCCCATCGCAATCCGGTCCCCCCCCACCATCGCCTATTGATATTCCATCTTCTAGTGTAATAGTCAAATTATGAGTTTAGTCAATTGACTGATCACGCAGACCGGACTGCTGTTTGAAGGCGTCTTTTTCGTTTGCTGCCCGTCCCCGTCATGGCTGCAACTGTTCAGAAGCTTCCGTCCTCGGACTTAGCCGAAAGTCCAGACGATACTATTCCTGAACTAACAGAAGCCGACTACTTAACTCATGTCCTACAACTTTCGTCTGAGAAGACCGAGGCTTATCTCAACAAACTGATCATGAAGGCCACAACTTTGGGTATTACTATCTCACGGCCGTCGAGTGCTGTCTCGATAAGAAATAAACGAAACCCGTCTGGCGCCAAATCGAGCATCACCATAGATACAAATCATGCCCGCACTGCGTCTACGGGGTCGGAGGGCTCCACGAGCACGACTCTTACTTCATATTCTTCAACTAACAGCTGTCCCGAGGCCATGGGGCGGAGCGTTGCAAGGAAGCGATCCAAGGCTCTCACTTTTGCTCAATATGAGAACTACCTCGCCCAAGCCGATCCGAATCTCAACCAACCTAAATTCATATCATCCTCACCCACAGAATCCGAATCAACACCAAGCATTTTCAGTGTTGGCACGAACAAGAGCTACCTGAGTTTTAGAAGGGGACTTTCTAAATTGCGCCGTAGACGAAAGACTCCGTCTTCTCTTGGACATATCGTCATGTTTGTCAAGCACCCCGGAAACTTGTAGCGTACGCGGTACTAATAGCTTCATGTTACTATACAGGTCATGCAGTGCGTGCCGAGAAGATCTCCAAGTCGACCAGCCTCTCCAGAGATTACCGTGCGGACACAGCTATTGCTCGAGGTGTCTGAAGATCATGATCAATCAGGCAACGACTGACGAATCTAAAATGCCGCCGCGTTGCTGCACCCAACCAATACCGAGTTCGATAATTAAATCTATATTATCCCGTGAAGAGCAACATAGGTTCCTAAAAGCCGTGACACAATTTAGCACGCCCTGGGAATCGAGAGTATTCTGCTCCAACCCAGCCTGTGGTGAATTTATACCACCGCGGATCAAAGTTGACCCCAAATATCCGTCCCAAGCTATCTGTCGAAAATGTAAAACGCGAGTTTGCGTTATGTGTAAGAGGGGCGCTCACTCTATAGGCCAGGATTGTCCGGATGATTGGGAATTGGATGCCGTCTTGAAGATGGGAGAGAAGTCAGGCTGGAGAAGGTGCTACAAATGTAGGTCACTTGTTGAGCTTACGCAAGGCTGCACGCACATGACGTGCCGATGTCGAGCACAGTTCTGCTACATCTGCGGCGCAGTCTGGGATCAGATGGTGGGTTGTCCTAACTTCTGCAATGGCGAGGCTGTGATGGAGGATCGGCGCCGCGAGGAAGAAGCCCGGGCGGCAAAACTTGCCGACGAAGAGGCAGCTAAGCAAGAAGCCGCTGCGAAAGAGACAGCAGAGATGCTCGAAGCAGTAAGACGCAGCCACAACTGCGAGGAATTCAAAGCATTGCGAGAGGAGCAAGTAAAGGAGATGGAGAGATTTCACGTTTTCGATAGGAGATCGAAATGGCTCATGTGGACTAGACATGCCCACGCAAAGCTCGCCCTCGTAGAGAAACACTCAGCGGCTATCGAGCGGATGAACGAACGACATAACAAGACGGCGGCTAATCTTGAAGACCGTCAAGTTGCTGCAGAGATGGAGCTGCGCTCAACATTAGAACAGAGCGAGAGAAACGTGCGAATTCGGCTCAAGCATATGGAAGCATATTGTGATGGCCTCGGCAAGAATCCAGACGGAGGCATGCCTTCCCGAACTGTGACGGAACGGGATCTAAGAGAGCTCGGGCAGCAGTATAACGTTGAAAAGAACATGAAGCAACTTCATCAGGCCAAAATCAACGTTATGCGGGATAGACAAGCCAAAGCCCTCGAAGAATTACTCGAAAGGCAAGAGTCGGAAATGGGTAAACTAATTGAGAAGAATAGGAAAGAACTGGAGAGTCTCGAATCTGATTTTTCAGATGAGGAAGATGCTTTGACGACGACAATGAGCCAGCGCAGAGCGACACTTCAGAAACGATGGGAACTCGAAATGGAAGTAATGCGTAAGGAGCTGGAGAACGACAGAGGACTGAGTTACGCTTCGATGAGCCCCCCCGAATGGTTGTATGAAGAAGAACCGTCAGAGGATGGCCTCCCTGCCGTAGATGAATAGGGTGCCTTGGTTGACATCCCGCTTACATATTCAACAAATACTCCTTTAGGTGCCACGGCATCTCGATCTCATAGTTATCTATGATTATCCTTAATCTCATATGTACATGCTATGGGTATCTCTGCTTGCTCTCCTCTTTGCGGTCGTAGAGGGCTTGGGTGTCTAGATACTCAAGCACGGGAGGGAAGGTGGAGTTTACAGGTCTGCAACCTTGCACGGCGTCAGAATAGGGATTGCATAAGGTATGAAATATTGGAATTAGCAAATTTATTGGGATATACCCGTAAATAAGTCATCATAGAATGGTATGCTTGATCGAAGATGGTACTAATATTCAGGTACAGTACCTACCGAGAAGGCTGCCGGGGTAAAACCGTCCGTTAGCATAATATAATTATTAGCCATAAACTGGTTTGAGTGCTAATATGCTGAAAATCGAAATGTATGGTAGTCGGGGGGTTGGCATTAGATGTCGTTCACACTACTATGAAACTTTCCATGAGACTTAGAGGCACGCAAGGACACGAGTAACTGGAACTGATGATGATCGATTCATACTTCATAAACAAATAATATTTATTGAATGATGCCATACTGTAACATGGCTGTTATGAAGGCTTGATAAACTAAACGCTCTCAAAAAATGGTTATGCTCAATAATAATGAATTAGATAAACCCACATAATCCTAGACGACCGATAAAATCAGTAGCCTATTTCTAGGCGGTCCTGTAGATAGAGTTAGCTATTGTGCTATAAGCAATATATTCGATTGTATAGTGTAACTCATAAGAAAGCGTTCAGAATATGTAAGAATTAAATATCACCTTACCACTCGATATAGCAGCTCTGGCGAGAGCGCCATCGAAGTGGAATCAATCGCAAATTACCTCATCATAACAAGTAAGATATTGTGAGAATATCTTAGGGGAGGATTAAAAAAATAGAAGCTTACCTATTATATGATGTTTATCATTAATGAAAGTTGACCTCTGGACAGTTCTTGCCTTTAGCAACCAAAGAAGAAAAAAAAAAGATTGATGAACAGTTAGAAGGTTGAGGCTGCAGAAAGATGTTGAAAAGAAATCTTTTTAGAAAAGGTCTGCAGAAGGACCCACTTTGAAGATGCACTAAGATTTAGCTGACCTCGGGTGCGGTTTAGGTGAAATTCCGGCTTAGCCCTAACTTGCCCACACAACATTCCAACATTCCAACTTCCCACCGCATTGTGCGCGACCGAAGAAAAGTTCAGCCCAGGACAATTCAAGGTAAGGAGGGATTTGAGCCAACATCACGACATCACCAAATCAGTAAGTCTTTCTCTTTTCTCCTTTCTCCATTCTCCATTCTCCGCCAACCAAATGATCTTCTAAAGAAACAATCACATCTCTCTTTTTCAATTGTCTCTTTTTATTTCTCCATCTTCCTATCTTCCTATCTTCCTATCTTCCAGCCTTCTTATAATACCCACTCATCTCTAACAACAACATTATCAGCACACCGTCACAATGGGCGACGCATCGATCGAATCACCCGAATGGCGCAAGGTCGAGGTCGGCCGTATCGTCCTCGTCCAGGGCAACGGCCCTTACGCCGGTAGACTGGCTGCTATTGTCGAGATCATCGACCACAAGCGCGTACGTTAACCCCGAAATCGGCAATCTGGAAATTTACGAATCTCATGTAATCATGTATATTAACTTGGGAATATCTAGGCTCTGGTCGATGGACCTTCGTCAGACCCTAAGCTGGTCGTTCCCCGACAAGCCATCTCTTTCGCCGACGTGCTCCTGTCCGATCTGAAGATTGCGAAGCTACCGCGCGCCGTCCGAACAGGAACCCTGCAGAACGCATGGGCGAAGGCCGAAATCGACGGCAAGTGGAAGGAGAGCAAGTGGGCCAAGCGAAAGGACCAGACGGAGCGAAGAAGGGCGCTCACCGACTTCGACCGATTCAAGGTCATGCGACTCAAGAAGCAACGACGATTCGAAGAGCGAAAGGCTCTGGCCAAGGTCAAGGCATCTGCATGAGCGGCAATAGGAGCATGAAGGGGGACGGAATGGTCGATTCTGTTATAACGGTCTCTTTCAGCTGGAGAGGAAGGTAGTCTACGGATCTGGTCTGCATGAAATGACACATTGGCATGGGGTTGCTGGTTTCTTCTGATTCGTCTGGCAAGACCTGTATGTCACTCATAAAAATCTCGATGAGGTGACCGGCGTCAATGATACGGAAATTCACAACAACTTGAGGCTGTCTTCTACGTGATAACATCTTCGCCGGGTGAAATTTGTGCTATCACATAGACATACCTAGATCCTCGAGTTTGCACAAGTGTAGATTCGATACGCAAGTTGACAATACAATCCCTCCGAGGGTCCCTAATACATAAATGACTACTGAAAAATTTGGGGCATGTCTTTTCTAAAAACCCCATCTCTAAAGGGAATAGGTATTTAAACATTAGTAGATAAAGGAGCTTTAATTACCTGCATAGGTAGGTAAGTAGAAGATGCTCTGACGCACTTTGGGTACTTCCATGCCGTAGGTATCTCGGATAACGTTAGGTAGTCGCATTCATTGTGAACGTACCTAATGTACATATAATTGAGCACGACTTCCGCCACTCGGGCAGGTAACTTCCATACCAGGTTTTGGTGGATCGAATAAACCGTTATTTTACCGTTATTTCACCATTTGCATATTTAAACGTTTGAAAATCAAGACTTAAGTGAACGACGAATAAGATTTTATATCTATTGAAGTTATTTTCAACGTTTGAAAGTGATTGGAATGTTTATGTATATAGCTATTTATATTCCCAAACGTTTTACTTACCGTAGCGGCATTGTATGGGTTTCAGGAAGGATTCCATGCGTAGATTATCATATTACCCATAATAATGGTTAAAATGGGTAATACCATATCTTATAAAATTATAATTCTTTTGTAAAAAATCATTCCTTTCCCAGGAATGATTCCTTGGAACTGAAGGCTCTGATTGGTTGGAATAAGTGGGATTAGGGTCATGTGACCCCCAAAAACCTTAAAAATCAAAAAAGCTAGGATGCCTGGGACTCGAACCCCAGGGTCCTAGCCCCACCACAGCACGTCCCACTAATTAATGCGGGAGTGTTGTGATTGAGCTAGCAGCTCTAGTGGGTGGCCAGTCCACTAGTGCTGAAAGATTACCCGTTTTTGAACCTTATTACCCACACTTTCATTTTTTTAATATTGTAATAATATTTTATCCAATCAGGATTCTAATTCCCGTACAAGAAAAGATATCCGATACAAGAATCATTCCACCCCCCAAATATCATATCTCAAAACCACATTTTGCCGGTATGGTATTTTCAAACGTTATAGCGTTTATAGAAAGAGCTATAAAATCTACGGGAAGGCCACGGGAAGGCTACGGGAGCCACGGGAAGGTATAAATTAGGTAGGTACGTATATCATATAAATATGGGGGGCAGGCAGGTAGGCAGGCAGGTAGTTAGTCAACCAGTCAGTCAGTTAGTCAATCAGTCAATAGATTACGAATACAATTATTAGTTGAATTGATTATATAAGACTATTTAAGGGACTATTTAAATATAAGAGATTATATGAGACTGGCTAGGAGACTGGTTATATATCTAATTAGCTAAGATATTAAAAGGTTAAGGGATTGACTGACTGACTGACTGACTGATTGACTGACTGACTGACTGACTGACTGACTGACTGGTTGCCTGACTGGTTGCCTGACTGGTTGACTGACTGGTTGACTGACTGGTTGACTGACTGGTTGGTCAAAAAGTTGAGGACTTAGAAGAAAAAAGGATGAATGGGAAGGAAAGGAGGGCCCTTTATATAGACCTATATACCTGTATACCTGTATTGCCTTAGATTTGCCTGTACAACCTTGATTTTAAATTAGGCCTTGTCTTGTATGGCCTTGACAAGGGTGTAAGGTCGTGATAAAGGCTTTTAAACCGACGGGAACGACGGGAGTACGTATAAATGCTTAAATATTTGAAGCTATATTGAATATTCGAAAGGCTAAATATTTAAAAACTTGAACGTTGAAAATTTTTTAAACGTTTAGATATTATTTGATATTAAAATGGTGGTAAATACTAAGAATGGCTAACGTTTTTGATCTTAAATATTTAAATGAAATAAATAGTATAAATATGGGTCAAAAAAGTAAACGGTTATTGAACTGTTTATTCGATCCACCAAAACCTGGTATGGTTCCAATTCGTAAAGGCACATGTACATACGTTAGGTACATAAAAGAGCCACTTCTGCCACTCCATGCATGGAAAATACTATAAATCCGTATTTGGACTAGCGCGGGCACTCGCAAAACTGGCAAACCCTAGGCCAAACAATTGACGAAAGTTCACAGCTGTAAGCAACTTTTCTTCGTAACCGAACCGCTCAACCCCCCCAAGGTACAACCAATCACCCCCGCTACCTAACTTCGGCGTCCTTCTTAAGTTGTCGCTTTGGTAAGTTATCGACATTTCCATAAATTTTCTTCTTCGTATATACCTCAGATATATTTTCCATATCAAATGTAAGAGTTGTCTTGAGGGAGATGGCGAACAAAATTTTGAGGGCTTGGTACCTCAAAAACCCCACGATATCGCACCCACCTCGCACATCGCAGAATAAATAGCTAATTTCGACCCCACCAGACTCTCACATTCAATATGGCCAACCCCAGAGTCGAGGAACTTCCCGATGAGGAGCCCAAGAAGGTCTCCGTCGAAGAGCACGACGACGATGACAGCTCCGATTCCGAGATTGAGGTCGGCGAAGGTGGTGCTTCAGGCTCTACTGCCGTTGTCCACTCCCGTAACGAGAAGAAGGCCCGCAAGGCCATCGAGAAGCTTCACTTAACTCGCGTTACCGGCATCACCCGAGTGACTCTCCGACGACCAAAGAACGTAAGTAAAGCGAGCAAGAAATATTTGTTTTGGTTGGGGCATGCAATATTTAGTTAGGATTGTGCGAAAAAGAAATAGGACATATCAAGTGTATATCTTGGCACGTTTTATAGTTTTGCGCAACGGGGAGGATTATTCGCTTCCAGTCAGATTAGATGGGGATGTCTGTTCATGGCTAACCGCATCGCCTACAGATCCTATTTGTTATCAACAACCCGGAAGTCTACAAGTCGCCCAACAGCAACACCTACATGTAAGAGCCCACTGCAACTGCATTAAATGTTTAATATGTCTAACAACTTTATTAGCGTCTTCGGTGAGGCCAAGATTGAGGACCTGAACTCGGCTGCCCAGCAAGCTGCGGCACAGTCCCTCGCCGCTAGTGGTGGTGAGCACGACCATGCTGGCCACGACCACAGCCACGGCGAGCCCAGCAAGGCCGTCGAGGACGCTGAGGAAAAGAAGGATGATGACGATGACGACGAAGAAGTCGATGCCGAAGGGCTCGAGGATAAGGATATCGAGCTGGTTATGACTCAAGCGAACGTCAAACGAAACAAGGCTATCAAGGCCCTGAAAGAAAACGATAACGACATAGTCAATTCGATTATGGCGCTGAGCGTTTGATAACGGAGCTTGATCGGGGAGGATAGATCTAACTGCGGGCGCGTTGGCTGGATGTATGCGACAACGGAAAAGTCTGCAAGAGGAAACGAAAAAACCAAAAGGAAAGTTAGTTAGCTGTGTATTACATGCTACGATATCTTGCAATGGATTACTGAGCCGTTGTGAATAATTTACTTCGAGTTCAATAACGATTCAACTGTTACGTTGGTGACTGCACCTTTAATATAATCTTCTCTAATGTTAATGTGAGATCTTGCAATGTGATATACGAACATCAAGCCACAGTAGATCAGGTCCAGCAGATCTCCATTAGTAAAATGGCAATAGGCGTTTGTAATACCTTACTACAGGTAATAGATGCGTACCTACCTAAATTTATAAGTACGAGGTACCTTAGGTACTCTTCAATCTCCCGAATGCAGAAGGGCTATTTGGTCACGTGACTTATATAATCACGGGACTTTGGCGATTGTGGCACCCTGCAAAACGTCGGAGTTCTTCGGCTGGGATACAGCAACAACATCCACTGCGAATTGCTTCACATCTCCACTCCTTACCTTTTCCCTCAACATATCACCAAAATGGCCGCAGTAAGTACTCCTTCTTGCAAGATCCCCTAGAAAATACGGTTGAGCTTTTCAAAGGCAGTCATGTTACCAATTAGATTGGCAATTCCCCCGGAAACTTCTGCTGAAAAATGAACCAAGATGAGCTAATTTATAATTTTCCGTTTCCTCCTTCGTAGCGAAGCGCAGCCCTCAAGCTCGACTGGACCAAGGTCACCTCCTCGCTAGGTCTGCGCGGACAGACCGTCGCAGGCCTTCAGGCCTTCAAACAGCGCAACGAGAACGCCCGCCGCAAACTGCAGGCTCTGTCGGAACTGCCGACGACGGTCGACTTTGCGCATTACCGATCCGTGCTCAAGAATCAGGCCGTGGTCGACGAGATCGAGAAGCGTTTCGCCGCCTTCAAGCCTGCCCAGTACGACGTCACTCGCCAGCTCAAGGCCATCGAGGCTTTCGAGATTGAGGCTGTCAAGAATGCCCAGAGTACGAAGGAGAAGGTCGATTTGGAACTTAAGGACCTCGAGGCTACCCTGACAAACATTGAGACCGCTCGCCCCTTCGAGGAACTTACTGTTGATGAGGTTGCTGCTGCTGAGCCCTCGATCGATGAGAAGACGGCTAAGTTGGTGTCCAAGGGCCGCTGGTCCGTTCCGGGATACAAGGTATGGATATACCCCCCTGTTACTTGCAGGATATATATATATATATGCTATGATGATAATGATGCTAACACCTTTTGTAGGAGAAATTCGGCGATCTTTCCGTACTATAGACAGCTTGCGCAGCGTAGCAACCAAAATTACATTACCGCTCTCTTTCCCTTGTGTACTCTAGCATTGTAGATAGGAAAGCCGGGAAGAGGCTGAGAAAGTGGAATTACAGACATTGTTAATCAAGTCTTTCGCGCGCGCGCGTGTATGTGTTCGTGGTCTATAATTATTTTTGGGCAGGTGATATACTCTCCGTCTTGAAGTATTAATCTAGCTTCGAAAATTACTTACCTAAGAGAGGTGGTATGTGGTCTTGGTTACTTGGTACCGAAGTCTAGTACCTAGGCCTTGTTCTTCATCGGTGTTCGTAGTTACTTAAGCGACTGTTATATGCAGAGACCAGTAAGGCTTACTGCGTGGGTTATAGGTGAAGATGATTATAATTTCGAGGAAGGGGTAGACTACAGCTATGGCCAAGTTATTGATATATAAATTGAGCTAATCCTAGTACATGGATGTTAAGAATCTCATTCTAAGCAACCATTCACAAGGCTGGCATGTAGCAAGACCACGTACCAGGTAAGTCGAGTAGTGCTTATACCCCTTATCAAGCTATTCTTTAGCTCGCTTGAAGGGGAACATAATAAGGTTAAAAAACAACTACTAAGTATTGGATAGGGGACACTCTGATCATTAGATAATCCAGAATAGCCAAGAGCATCATAGAAGTTAGAAGTGAGAGAAACGTTGCGTAGGTAGTTAGCAATACTAGTTGAGCAAGGTGTTAATTACACAAGAGATATCCCCCATCATACCATGAGCTTAGAATACTAACCTAGACAGTTTTCTATATATCTATTGTAGAAGTCTTCATCTCTATTCTCATGTTATTTCGGTTGCTCCTCTCCGCTGTTTAGATGTGAGGGATAGTTACGGTTGAAAAAAACAGGAACAAGCCCAGTTATTCTCCAATGTCTTCTTCAAATCTCCCTTAATATTTCCCGTTTTAAAGGTACAGGATTTTTATTGAATACTAAGCTACGAAATATACTTACGTATCATTTATTGCTAACTCTTTGTTAATAGATATTGTAAAGGTACTTAAACCCCTTCAACTTTCTTAAGGAAGGTATAGATGTATGTTCCAGTATATTATTTCTATCTCTACATGCATACACTACGTAGAGCTAACACATATGGAAATATCATCTCTCAAAGAACCTTCAAACTACCGCAATATTCTATTTTCGTGACAGTTGTAACGGTAGTAGCTGCCGTGTCAACAGACGATTTCGTAACCCCTTAGGAACCGCAATTGTGGCCATAGTAATGAAACTCTTTGAGCAATTACTTAAATCCTTCGTATCTACGCACCAAAGTGCAGTCTTCCTCTCCTTCAATAACTCGGAGTTATCACAATTATCAGAAACCAAATTATACATTAAGATCAACAATCTTACAAGCATTCGGGTATATCGTATCACCGCATACTACTAAACATGACATTTTACTTATATGCATCATTACGGAGAATTATACGACCAGGTATCTTACAGGTCATCAATAACAATATGTTAGAGTTGGAGTTTCATTTTTATTTTGACGCACCTTCTCTATCTCCTTCTCAATATACTTCTCAACAGGCGCTTATCACTCAATGAATACCACAGATTTCCAGAATTTTAGATGGAATCTTTTAAGGCTATAAATGATGCTAGTCCTGAGACGGAGAAAACAAAGAAAAAACGACCAGGGCTGAGGCTTTAGAGAAGGCGCATAGGATGCCTCCCCGACGCGACGACAGAGAATCAACTTTATTTAGACTTTTTATGAGCCTAAACCTTTTGTACAAGTACTTGATTCATATCGAAGAGAAACTAAAGTGCAAAATTCACCTTCTCGAAGCTGGGCAAAACTTGACTAGAAGTTTATACTAACCTTCCCTAGTTACCACCGACTGCTATCTCCCAGACAGGTTCATGCTTCGACGGAACTGTGTCTCCGCGCTTACGTTACTATCCCAGTATACATACGAAAGCATTGTGTTGAACGTATTACCTGCATATAATTAAGCGATCCCCATTAAACAACTGGAATATTAGACGTTAGCTAGAACGATAGAATATTCGGGAATTAGCTACATGCTCTTTGATACATGTAAATATATAATTCGTATTGAGTTATGTAAGTGAATCTGGGTAGGTATTTAAAGTACCTAACCTACCTAGGTATTTAGTTCGACAGGGCGGGAAAAGCGGGCCAGGGTCTAACCTACGCTAGGTACTACATACGCTAGCGTGATTAGCGTGATTAGCATAACTAGCGTAACTAGCGTAACTAGCGCGCCCTACCTGCAGGTGTTTCTTCAGCTCTCCCGCCTCGTTGGTTACATGTTCCTTTTTACTCTACCAATCTCCACGCTACACATCAATAAGACACACTTTTACACCTTCTACACACTTAAACAACGAACTCATTTACTCTTACTCTTACTGTTCTGTTGACTATTTTACTTCCACTTCGCCTTCACGATAATTGAGCCTTTTATTTATTTATTTATCCGATCGTCTATTAACATCTAAAAGGTAGCGCTAGAATTCCCGCGACCATGGCGTCCCTCGCCGCGGGGATAGTCGATCCCACAAAAGCCGGCAAATACCCAGTTGTTTTGAGCGATGCCTTGCTCGGCAAAGACCCAAAGGAGGTTTTCACTGGTGTGAGATGTAAGTTGCCCATTCACTCTAGTTAATAAACGACAGCTAACGAATAGCCCACTACAGATAATCATAAGCCGTCATTATCGTCATCTACTGCACCCGCCCAGGCACGAATAAAACCGACATCCGCATCTTCTTCTAAGAAGGGCGCTTCTACATACGACCTCGCCTTCCAGGATGACGGCGGCCGCTACCAATACAAAGGAACACGCGGTGTCGAAGACAGCCAATATGTGCTGATCTTTGACCCCGCCCGCGAGGTCTTTGTCTTGCACAAGGTAGACTCTATGTTCAATATGAACTTGGTAAAGACGCCATCAAACGACGATCCCGAGAGCTTACGACAAGACTTTCCTCACTTGGATGCTCATAGTGCTGCTAGCAGCGCCAAGGCCACAGGACCAACGAGGCAACCTGCAAAGGGAAGGAAAGAAGAGAAAAAGACAGCGGCTAAGCCACGGAAGCCGGCATCAAAGCCAAAAGCAGAAGATAAACCGGTTCTAGCGATGCCCGAGAAGAAGTCACCTCCGAAGCCCATAGCAGCTAGCAAGCCGCGCCGCACCTCAGACGATTCGGAAGAAGAGAGCTCGGACGACGACCTCGGTCTTACAATAGAGAATCCAGGTGGCGAGGCGCCGAGAGTCAATCAACACTACTCTCCCAACCTCTTTGGAATTCGCCGTTTCTCCGATTTGATGAATGAGGGTGAAGACGAAAAGAACAACGAGGAGCACGACGATGCTGACGGCGAGGAAGACGACGACGAGCCTATTGAGCACTTCGTCTTACCTAGCCCGATCAACCAGCAGATGCAACAAACTAGCAACCCCCATAAACATCCGCAAGCCAACGAGGAAGACGATGAAGATGAGGACGAGGAGATGGAGGATGTACAGCAAGAACAGCCTGCTGACGCTGAGGAAGCTGTCCTAGATGAGTCGGATCTCGAGGCTGCGCTGCTAGCCGAACTGGGCGAAGAGGATCAGCAAGAAAGCGACGTGAGCGAGGAGGAATAAAAGAAGATATGATTTTGTTTTTCTTTCTTCGTTATTGATTTCAAGGATGCCCACTTGAGGCGATATCTTTATCTGATCTTCCGGGGATATAATTAAGCGGCGTCTGGTGCTTTGGATACCACATGAACGGGGCGGATGGAATATCGGAATCAAATACATGACGGATAGAGATCTCTCGGCAGATGCGGTGACCTGCTCTTGATTTACTTATTTTTTATCATCGAATGTTTTAATGATTATTTATTAGTCACAGAGTGTCCTAGGATCTTCAGAGGCGAAAACATGACACTATTCTTTAACGAGATTAGCTGAGATTAAAGTAGACTTTGGCATGGGTAATGACTTGATGCTCTATTTAACCAAAGACATTATAAACGGGTATTCCTGTATACTTATATTTGTCAAGGGGAAAAAACTCCTTTGATAGGTAGAGCTTGATTTAGAAGATAGATATACAGACGTATAGTACGTATAGTATACGATTAGACAGTTCATGTTCATCACTAAAACTTTATACATCATATGTCTTCAATACATATATATATATATATAGTTATATATATTTCTACTATCAACAAATATATACCCACACGTATCCTTCATCCCCTATGCCACCTATCTATCTACTCTTACGAAGCCCCCGAGAAGGCTAATTCCTCGTTTCCAACAACCGGGTTTAGCACATTAACATTAGTTCCCGCTAGGGTTCCATCACCGCCCTGTACTACAGCCGAGAAGGAATCGGCCATAAGTTGTACGCCGCTTACGAAGTCCTGCTCGTCAAACTCGCAGTGCCCGCCATTTGGTGAGTTATCTACCGTCTGTAGGGCCCCGACGGCTGCTGCGTCCAGGCCTTGCGATGTGGCGATCTGCTCGTAGGCTTTGATGGCTGCCGGGATCGCGGGTTGGAGGAGCGTTAATTCTTGCTGCGTGCTCTGGAAATGCACACGCGTCTCTGCTAACGCAGCAGCATCCGCATCCGCTACATCGACTTGCGGTTCTAATCCGCCGCAGTTAAGTAAGACTTGGGACTCCTTTCCGGCACCGGCAAACTGCGACATATGCCCCGGCATCAAGAACCCGCTCAGCAACAACGAGCCACCAGACACTCCCGTAAAGCTCACTCGGCTGGAGTTAAATGCTAGGACCTGGGGCATGATATCCGCAACCAGGTCTGCGACGGCCTGGGCGTGGGCCACACCGTCGGTGCGGTCGAGTCCGGAACCGCCACCCCAGAATAGGTTTGGGTCTGGTGCTAGGACGGCGACTCCCGCGAGACCGTCCTGTACAGCTTGATTCGGGAAATCGAAGAATGATTGTCCGCCGTCACCGTGTAGAAGGACGTTTAGACCTAGGTCACCGGCTGCGCCCGCCGTCTGGGCCCCGCCGTCGACACCGGAGTCTGCTGTAAATTGGTCGGCGGGTGCGGAGACTTTGAAGCGGAGAGGGAGGCCGCTAAGGAGCGTTAGTATTTGCCGTACATATAAACCTGGGTATGTTGGTTATAAATATAGAAGTAAACGTACTTTACGTTAGCCGTCATATCCAAGATAGTGCTTCCATCCGTCGCCGTCGAGACGCCCTGCGGTATCTGCTGCGCCTGCTGAAAAGCCGTAGCTTGCTTCTGCGTTTGTCCTCCGCCTCTAGTCGCCCCCTGATTATTCCTGTTCCTACCACCCCTATTTCCTCTGTTCTGCGGTGCCGCATCGACGAGGGAGAAAGCCCCGAGGGCAAACAGTAGCGACAAAGAGCGAATGGTCAACATCCTGACTACGTAACTTAGATTAAGGGGAAAATATTACGAGCAATGAACTAGCGAGAAAAAAAGAAGAAGAAGAAGAGACAGGCGGATCCGGGCCTGGGGAAAGAAATGAGATACGTGTGGTTATCGAAATAAGGCTCGTCAAGAGCTTAGAAGTGAAAGGAGTGTAAAAGGAAGAGAGAGAAACAGAACCTCATTCACGTTTCATAGATTTCGAGAGAGTGTAGTTAGTCTTATGAGTAAAGCAAGTCTTCAAATTACTCTCCTCCTACCCAGGATTACGGAGATCAAACATCTTTCACAATCCACAACAAATCGCATCCAGACCTAGCCTTGCGCATTCCAAGCAATCTAGAAGGGTGCCAAGAAGGGGGCCGATGATCGAAATTGGCGTTTATCGCACTGAGGTATCAGTTCCGACGATAATTATTTACTTGCAGGCTGCGCTGGTAGGATAATGGATACTTTTGACACCGTATTGGGAGGCAGTTGAGCTTCTCCGTGTTTCGCGGCAAGGGTTGCGACCGTTCTGAGGGCGCCGGCATCCCTGTTCTAACCCCACAATCTCCGGGAGGTATCGTCACATCCTGGAGTTTGAGCTCTTGTCTGAAGCTTAGCTTTTGCTTGGCAATGTCTATCAAAAAGAGTTCTTTTTGGCTAGGTACCTATTCCTAGGAGCGTTAATACGGGTTAAAACAAGTTAGAACCTATCTACAGAAAGCTCTAAAGTACCAGGTATATATACCTAGGTATATATATATAGAAATTGGTGTTATCCTAGAAGACCTGAAATAGTTATTTAGGTGTTAATTATTTACTAGTTATCATCAATATTGGACATCTTCGTGATGTTTTCAATAAGCAAATAGTTGCAACATCGTCAAGAATAAGCTAGAAAACAGGATGACATCGGAATCAACATTAATCAATGGCGGAACTGACAAGCATAGAAATGATATGCATCGCAAGCTGCTCGAGAGCTTTCAATCGTTTTGCCCTCGGCCAAAATGGCCATATTCATTGGGAGCTAAGCTCATACCGTATATGAAATATACACTCTCTGAGAGAAATCCTTTGCGCCCTGCTTTGTTACAATGACCAACCCAAAGTGAGGTCCCGACTTCGCTTGTTCCCATATGCCCTAAATATATTACCAAATGTATACCCAATATATGCAAACGAGCGTATTGAAATCCAAGTTGATGAATCTAAATTTTTTTTTTTGGCCGTGGATTGGAAGTCTTCAGATCTTATACTATATAGAGTGGTAATAGTATGTGTAGGTCCCGAGGGGGCGTGGTTTATAATTAAGAAGCCGGATGATTCGCCCTTAAACCGCGCCAAGCCACACTGACTCCGTATAGACTTTACTGATTGATATTGTGGAACCAATTGTAGTGCTATGATACACGTCTGGGAGGTGGACGTATAGTGATGCGTGTTTGTTATTATTGCTAATACGCGCTTGATAGCTGTGCATAGTTGTCAACTATCATACCATCGACTCATCCATTGCCTCTAGATCGTTAGGCATCGCCCCGTGTTTTTTTATCATGTGTCGTCTCCAATTGTCTTTTCTCGGGAAAGCTTTTCTTCCTTTGAAGTATGCACATGTTGGTTCTGTACAGTGATAGGCTTTCGACTTGACATGCTTATCGTTGATATGTCGATCAAGGTGTGTCTTTGTACCGAACTTCTTATCACATCCTTCGTAAGGGCACTCGTGTTTACGGTCGTGATAACGTTTATGGTGGTTAAGTTTATGGACCTGATCAAAATACCGACCACACTCTTCGCAGATATGACCGGATGATTGGGGAGAAGGAATTTTGGATACCTCCGGCGACAAGCTCGACTCTGGTTCCATCTTGACATGTTCATTTGTGTTGGGATACGGTGATGGGGATACCGTAAGCCGGGTATCCGGCGTCCTTCCCATGGAGGGATCCGTAGAGCTCTGCCCTGGTGTAGTACTGTAGTCGTACGAATCACCAGATAGGCGAGGTTCGTCATCACTAGGGATATCCAGGAAGCTCTCTACATCGATGTCCTCTTGAGAACCATGAAAAAAGTTTTCCGAGTTTTCTTGCGCCGCCTGGTCTGTGACGATGGCAGGAGGTGAGGTAGGGAAGGTCGGAGGAGACGCCGAGTTCTCCATTTGGTAATGAGTATAAGCAGCTTTCTCGGCAGCGTTAGAGGGTTGCATGATGGACATCGGCGACACGAAGGATTCTGGCTGAAGAGAAGGAGAGTGTGAGCTGTGGAAGATAGAGGGTCTATGAGTAGCATCAAGTGTCTCGTCCAGTTCCATAGGCTCCGGGATGGCCGGGCTCATAAGTCGTTCTTGGGGCCGGGTCTCGGATTGTGGCTGAGTTGAGTGAGGTAACCGATCGGTGGAGTCCGGACTTCTGAGAGCAGCTGAAGGTAGCTCAGGATCCCTCTCTGTGGTTTCTCGTACCGTTGAGCTAGTCCGAAGAGGGTACACGTCGTACTGGGAATCTCCTTGTCTCTGTCTCTTGTGTTGCTGATCCTTTTCTGTGCAGTTTCTGTCTTGAGAAGCAATCGAGATACCTGCTTCTCCAGAAATTTCGGCAGGCTCTTCGAAAATTTGATTTACGGGAGGTTTTTCTTGAATGCTAGTTCCTTCCGCAGCTTCTAAACCAGATTCTGGTTTCATACTGACAGGACTAACAACTGGTGAAGTAGGAAAGTACTGTTGAGATGTCGAGTACTGGGGGCTTACGGTGCCATGAGCCGAGGAATGTGTAGAACGTTTCCTCTTAATGCTATTCCAGATTCGACTAGTTAAAGAGCCACTTCTTCTTCGATGTTCTCGAGAATCTCTCAGCTGAGCCTCGTAAAGCTCAGTCATCTGTCTAGACGGTGGTATCGGCTCTTGCTCAGGATTTGAGCCCATCGAGATCCTGGTGTCATAATAACTAGAATTGGCTGCTTCGTATCCCGTGACAGCATTGTTAGAAGGCAGATTGGCCCCAATGTTGTTGGTAGTTGGAAAAGCTGTCGGCTGAGGGGGCAGAGGAAAATCGATGCCCGGGGGTAGAGACGGCTGACCGAAATTTTGAGGTAGGTGATAAGAGTCATGACTACTAACAAATCTATCTCCATAAGCGGCAGGTTGTGTCTGTTGAAACTCAGAGCCGTCGCTGAAGCCTGGGTTGATTCTCTCAAAATCATCCTTCATAGAAGGGGGATGATCCGGTTGTGTGGCAGGGGTTTGTCTAGGCCGGAAACCCTGGAAAGGGAATAAGGTCCTGACTTGGGAGACTGTAGAGCTTCCAGCTGGAAAAGTCCCCGCTTCTCTCGCCTCTCTTAACTTCCGCCTGTACCGGAAGTAGAGAAAGCCCAGGACTATGAGTAACAGGCTGCCTCCGAAAGCACTGCCGATAACCGTTCCAGCAATTGCACCGGCGGACATGTGACTCCCCCGCGCCCTGAGCCCGGACCTGGGGTTCAGAATGGGCGCCATATTGAATTAGATGAGAGCCGGAGCTCTCAGTAGAGGGTGAATAGATTCTTGCAGTTTCTCAAGGTTATGCTCCAAGCATGAGATGATACCTAGCCTGTATGAGAGACTAACGGGTGCAAGCCAAGAGAAGTAGTTTAGTTTCCGCCGAGAAGGAATTAAGACTCGGGCCGTCAGTGGCGGGGAAAGGTTATGCGAGACCGAAATGGGCGGTTTTAGGTCAGGGTCTCTCGAGTTGAAAAGGTGGAGGATACGGTCTCCCTCTCTCTCTCGCGCGCGTATAATCAGCCGGTCAAGTCAGTGGGATAAGATTCGGCCAATACAGGCGGCCCAATAACAGTCTGACAAGTGCTGCGCAAGGCAGGGGCAAATGAATTATGCCGAAGGTGAATTGATGATGACCTAGGTCATATTTTTGATCATATTATGAGATGGATAAGAGGAGTTGACGTTGAAGAACCAGGATGTAATGATTTATCGGATTGATTCAGCCTCATCAAAAAAAAAAAAGTTGGAGGCGGAAGTGAACCCGGAGACGCCCTACAAATGCAGGCAGAGTTACATTGCGATTCCCTAAGAAACCTAAGAAACCTACAAAATCCTACGGATATCGATGGCTGGCGCTCGTGTATGTACAAGGGTATAAGTACAAGGGGTCCTTGCCAATTGGAGTCCTCAATTAGGACATAAAGTTACTTTGGGTTTCAACTAACTATTCTGTTATGATAAAATCTCCGAGACCCGAATAATCTAAGTTTCTCCTAGGAAATTCCCACGTTAAAATATCAAAAGGGTAAGCACAAGGTTAGTGCACTAACACAAAAGCGCTTACCAGTGCACGTGTGCATCAAAACTTGGGTTAGCAGGTTAGCTACTTTGGTACGCTACTGCGCCACAAGCTATAACCATTAGAGAGGAAAGGGGCTAATCGATAGGTACATGTACCCACGTAGTAGCCGTGGAAAGTATAGGTATCCAATTATTCTGTCAAGTACCTGACAGACGCTACTTTTTACTGTCGGAGACCTCTCGGTGAACGCGATAAATCGTGTTTTAATACATTAATCAACGCGTTACTTTGCATCAAACATCTACGGAAGAGCCGTAGCAGATCAGCCTCAATTGCAACACGCTTTGCATCATACGTTGTAACCCCAGATACGTCATCACAATGTCCTCTAGTCTAATGAATGTGTCTAATAGAAAAGTTGACCTAATATTTTTTTTCTTTTTTTTTTTTCCGTTTGGTTGTGATTTTTGTCTATGGGAGTTTTTGTGAACATGATCCAATCAGAACGCTACAAATCTCAACTCAACCTTCTTCCATTTTCTTTGGGACTGTCAGGTCATTCATAAGGTTCAATGCCGTACGTTAGCAGATGTTATAATTCACTCCCGAAACTAGGTAGGCATCTATCAATCTTAACTCGAGATAGGGATCATCCAAGCTCAAGGTTGACAATGACCTCGGACCTTGTAACGATATACTTAACCGGGCGCAAAGGATCCATGATATTGTTGGTCTCAGAATTGATAGCTCACTTGAGTCCTATCAAGACCCCAAGTATAGCCAATACTTACATTATGTTCGGTCAAAGGGCAACCTCGCCGTTGACGTTGGAGAACTCTTATCAATCGAGGCCAATTTATCCAGCAAGCCATCCGTCCCACTCAAGTTGAACAAGCAGGCAAGATATCCATGAGCCATGGTCCAAAACCATTCATCTTTTAAATGAGGCATCTAGCGGGGATCCGCCTACTGTGGTGATGGAGGGAGTTCCCGATCCTCTCTACCTAGAAGGCAACTTACATAGTACAACTATCTCACCGCTACAAGCTATCAGGGCGTCCTGGTTTCTAGTACATTTATCTACCTGAGGTATCTTTACCTCAAGATAATCTCCACGGAAATGTAAGTGCAATAGCCCAAAGAGCAGCCTTTGCGCTTTTTGTAGATTCATGTTTCGCACCGTAGGCATCGGAACTCGAACGTAACATGTATAACCCATATTCTCCAACGTACTATAGATAATAAATATAAATAGCAATTATAACACGTCCGTCAGGCATGCGCCTATTCATTGGAGGGCTTTGGAGCAAAAGACTACGGGCTCTGCCGCTGCAAGAATCGATCCATTCTACATGGGAGTATGGGAGCTGAAATGCTAGTAAACTGTTTGTGGTTTTGAGGCCGGTCAAAGCATCTTCAATTCAGCATCATTCTTGTATCAGCGCTGCAGTCGTAGGTGCTCGAAATGTACTTGGGTTAGGGACTTAGGTACCTCCAATGAAACCAACAGCATGCGACTTAGGATGTTAAGGGCACGCTGTGTAGCCTAGCCCGATATCACCCTACCCTACCTCGAGAGGAAGGTCTTTTCTATTTGGGTATATGCTCCATCCCGTAACGAAAAGCTATAGAGTACTACTGAATGGTCATTTTACACATCTTCTTAATAGCGGAGGGAATATCATTATTTCCCGCTGGTTCTCGTGTGTCGTGTGACGAGTCAGTTGCGTTACAGCATATACGGCTTTCTCGGAAATGCCAAACTTTCTATGGTTCGATTGTAGGACTTGGTGCTGGAGATTCTAGATCGTAAAAATCGACATACAAAGAATTGATGCATCAGACTGCAGGTTGCGTATAAGTTGACCGGGGCATGTCTAGACCCTTCGTAAGCATAGTCCTTGCTACCATGTTCGGGCTCTAGAATAATTCATAATTCATGCAAAGGCATTCATTTACAAAAGCAATATGAAAGTCTCAAGGAGTACCCGGCCGTTCCAGAAACGGGCTGCAGGAAAGCCTCATCCTAGAGTCTAGACTCAGGTTCGTAACAAGTTTTAACCCGACGATATTGGCATTGGGCATTACCGCCTCTATCCGGACCAACCTATTCCACACTTTGAATGAATAGATACCTGTAACCAACTTTTACGATGATGCTGGCGCATTAAACAAAAAGAGCTGGCACGATAGAATATATCGCGATAATACATAATACATAATACCCACCGGTGGTGAGCGGTATGGACTAGGATATCATGCCACTAATGATCTATTTATTATACTCCTTGTTGCACAGCAATTCTTATCATTAGTTGATTAAGTGACTCAGGTACTATTCCGGAAGGTCAGCGTACCACATAGCATTCGAACTATGGACGTTCCGTACAAGACCTAGTGCGGCTAACTTGGACTGAAACCGCATACTTCGTGACACTACACGGGACGTCGTAGAAGTGACTATATCAAAGGTTAAAGAATAATAATATGAGTGACAGAATAGCAATGATAACACAATAAATATGTAGGCGCAAGGATCGTACAGCTTGACGCTAGAGATAATGCATCACTGACGAATTTGATGTCAGCTACACAGCAGTCCCTGCTGGTGCTTGCATATATCAGAAAATTGCCGTATACACAACAGCCTGTTGGCACACACCGTCTATTCTTGACAGCCAAGCAAGACGACGCGATGCGGATCTGGAGAGCTCTTGACCTCGATCGAGGTTCTACAACCGGGAGTGGATGAAGGGGCTAGTGTTGAATCGTCTACAGGCTACAGGACTAAGACTTTCCGCCACGAAGGTCGATCCTCAGCCGAGATAGCAATGATTAATTACACCGTTTAATCTGCTTACTAAGTTTCGTATGATCTATAATAAATCAAGTCGATAGCAAGTAGCCCCTTACTTCTTTCTTTTAGTCCAATCGTCTGATGATATAATAGGTTATGTACTTAATGATATTAATTATTTACACTCATACGAAGAAAAGGATCTTCCGTCATTTATGAGTTTTATACAAGCTTTGATAAAAATGCCCAAATATAAGTCAGTAGCCTCCTAAAGAAACATAGTTATATGTGAGTTCCGTTAACTATTATATAATTCTATAGACATGAAGAACACTGCGTGACAGGTAGAATGTGATATGCCTCATTTGGGTATGCATCTCGTCGAACCATTGTCCAATCCGAGATTGTATTTTTTTTATAGGTATTTGTATGTTTTATGCCTGGCCAGGATCTTATACCATCATACCTACCCGTATGCTAGATAGAAGGTAATGTCTAAGTTAATAGGTATTGCATGTTCTGAATAATCGTGCACCTAGCTTGAACAAGGTACCTAAGGTATTAAGTTAGCTATTCTTTCTGCAAGGTGACTGCGTGGCAACCATTACAAGAGGCGGCTACCAATTTACTTAAGCTTTAGCCATAAGAAAGTCAAGTTCTAAATTAAGGTGAGTTAATAATGTACCTACATGTGTAGTTGACCTTAAGCCGGTCTAATAAGCCGCGGGGACGGGCTTAGACAGGGGGTATGAACATGTGGTTCCTACCTTGTAGTAGACGGATTGTCTAGACTGTGGCGTTTAGAAACATTTTATTTCCCATGTAAATCTGGTAAATTTCCGGTGCTTTACGCCTCTATGGATATCACGCCTTTTCTAAACGAAAACATCGATGTTTCAAATCACAGGATTATTTTACTGTCTTTGTTATGTTTTCAAATCGATGTACCTAATGCTTGCTTACCTGATAGTGACATAACAGTGACATAGTAGTAACATTCAATCATCATACAATGTTCTTACATAGTACCGTCCAGGTGGTATTATGCATTAGTAACATTACATACATGTATACATACCTGTGTATGTAGGTACCTAATGCTTAATGTAGGTACCTTATATGTATGTACCTTACATAGGCCTAGGCCAGAGTAGATCGCTCTTCCCGACAGAAACTGCCAACTGTACTAGCCAATGCGATCGAAGAAGAATGTGCTCCGCAATGTACGTAAGCGTTCTAGTGGTCCCGAAGCAGCTACCCCTGGCTGCCCTGGGCTCTAAAGTCCCCCAAAATCTTATTTTACGGGTTCCCGATCTCTAACCCCCGGACACAATTCTGAGCATCATGGCAACCAGCGCGTGCACTCTTTCCAATCCCGATTCTGAACGCACCAAAGACCGTGGCCAGATCTGCACACCAGCAGACGCACCCGGCAAGATGGATTTACTCGTAATAATCAAATGCTATCTTCTTCCTCGGTATGACCTCCGCCTCCAGTTGAGTTGTCGATCCTCATCCGTGTTTGCTTTGCCGGGCTCTTCTCCCCAGGGGACTAGGTCCAGGGTCATATGTCTAGACCTTGAGGAGGCCTATCACTTGTCGGCCTCAGATATTCCTATTCTGTAGCTGGATCATATCACGGTTATGGTCTTATTTTTGACCGGAAGTCTGCGTTGCCACAGGGTCTAAGGAGAGTCTCACTTTACCTTGTGCTTCTTTGTGTTTTCTCTTTGCCTTTTAGTCCACAATATTCGTATACAATCATATACGAATCGGAATTATAGTCTGGATCTTGCTCACGGGAATGCCCGATTCGGTTGAGTTACATCCAGCATCGTAGGATAGTCTCGTCTCGACTGACCTGGCCTTCGAGACGGAATTCCTAGTGACTATCTGCTTTTCTCGGATATATAATTTCCATGGACAACCCACTGCGTTAGTGAACCACTTCCATACGTTAGCGCCTCTTTAGAACTTAAGGGCATAACTCCCTGATCTGGAGACGCATTTACCATTTTTAGAAAAGCCAGTTTGTCTCTAGCTCGACTCTAGATACCGTTATCCTGGTTGGTCCCATCGGGAGTGGTGGGTCAGCCTTGTTGTGTTGTACATCGGGCCTAAGCAGCGAGAGTACGAATATCTGAATCACCTTTAGCCGCCTTGATCTTGAATTCGATCCTAAATTCGATCCTTGAGGTCTAGATTCGCCTTCGTCATCACTCGCCTGTTCATATTACGTTTCCGGCAGCAGTTCTAACGTGGAGAGCATAGGGACGAACAAACTATCAAAGACGTCAACTGTATCTATCTGCAGGTCGTATTTCACCAAAGCTTGGCCAGCTCCACTAGAGCTCCGGTCCGTGGAAGAGATAACTGCTTTCAAAAACCGTCTGCTACTGTGTCTCGCCGATTCTCGCGGCAGTTACTCCCACCCTATCGAACCAGAGATTTGTATCTAAAGCTCAACTTTGGTAATCTGTCTGGCCCCAATCTTACATACTCACTGATTAGGTCGCCATGTCGGCAAATAATGTCCTTGTCTACATTGTACGTCACGACTTGCGTGTCTCTGACAATCCCATCCTGCATCATCTCTCTTCCACAATCGGCCATGGGTTTACGCATCTCCTGCCTCTCTTTGTCTTACTACCTCACCAACTTGAGGTTTCCGGATTTCTGAAGGATGACGAAAAATCCCCTTTTCCCGAAGCTAAAAGCGAGGTTGGACGCTATTGGAGATGTGGGCCATATAGGGCTGCGTTTATTGCCCAATCTATTTGGAACCTGAAAGACAACTTAGAGAAACTAGGAAGCGACTTGACGACTAGGATAGGGACGTACGATGGTGTATTAAAGACACTCATTGACGGCTTGCGACTGAAGGGGCTTAATGTCGGAGGAGTGTGGGCGATAGGGGAAGAAGGCTATGAAGAGAAACGAGATGAGAAGCTTATATCAGAGGTTTGCTCGAGTCTTGGTATAGATTTTCGAACATGGGTAGATGAAAAGTACTTCATCGATGAGTGAGTCATGATTATAGCCTCGAGGCGGACTTTACTGACGAATCCTCATTCACCTAGTCGAGATTTAAAACTCGACAAAGATGATCTCCCAGACGTATTCACGACTTATAGGAAAATGATGGAGCCATTGCGAGAGAAACCCAGGGCGACTTTGTCTACCCCCCTGAAAGATACATTGCCCAAGTCCGTTGAAAAGTCATTAATTCCAAGGCAGGAATCGCCTTTCGAGATCCCGTCTTCATACGATGAATTCGAAGAAGCACTCTTAAGACCTGTTAGGGGAGCCCTATCCGGCTCTCCGCCCTTCCCTGAAGGAGCTAAGTCGGCTCATCCTTTCCGCGGTGGAGAAGATAGTGCTCATAGTAGATTGGATCATCTGATCCAATCGGGAAGTGCCTCCTTGTATAAGACCTCGCGTAATGGACTATTAGGAAGCGATTTCAGCACGAAACTGTCTGCCTATCTCGCACAGGGATGTATCACCGCTCGTCAGGTACATGCTCAACTTGTGGCATACGAAGATGGAAAAGACAAGTCACTCGCCGAATCTCAGGGGTACGGTGATGGAGAAAACGAAGGGACAAAAGCGATACGGTTTGAATTGTTGTGGCGTGACTATATGAGGCTCTGCACTAGGAAGTTTAAGGAGAAACTCTTTCTCCGATCTGGATTCAGAAATGATCGCGCTAACAAATGGAAGTCGGCTAAGAAGGAGGATATAGCTGACGGGCAACAACAGTCGGCAGACGAAATTTCTAAGATAGTGCAGAGAATATTCGACGGAACAACCGGGATGGGATTGATCGATGCTTCTCAAAGAGAGCTGTTACACACAGGATATACGTCGAACCGCGCCCGCCAGAACGTCGCGAGTTTCCTTGCTAAACACCTCTGTATCGATTGGCGTTATGGTGCTGAATGGTATGAAATGCTATTGGTCGATTATGACGTTTCATCGAACTGGGCAAACTGGCAGTACGTTGCCGGGGTGGGAAACGACCCACGAGGAGAAGCACGGATCTTTAACCCCGTAAAACAAGCTTTCGATTATGACAAGGATGGGGAATACGTACGCTGCTGGGTACCCGAGGTGCGGAAGCTTGAGAAACTAGAAAATGTCTTTCAGGCCTGGACGACACCAAAAGAGGATTGGGATCGATTTGGCTTGAAAGGTCTCACTATGGCCGAGGACCCGGTGAAGAAGATTGACTTTTCCGTGGAAGGAAAGCCTAAAAGTTCCAAACGACCATTCATCCGGCGACGCGGCCGTGGTCGTGGGGGAAGCAACCACACTACACAGTCTCTTGCGACTGAACAATCGCCAAACGACACGAAGGACAACGAAAGCTTCAATAAGAATGAGAAATCAGATAATAGGCCACCCAACAATCCCGCCCAGCCAAACATATCCGAAAGTCACCGTGGTGGTTTTCGAGGCGGGCGAGGATATGGTGGAGGATACCGAGGTCGTGGCTTTCGCGGATCGAGAGGAGGGTACCGGGGTCGAGGTTCGTCAAACTATGGTCAACCACCACCGCCAATGCAGCAATTAACTTCGACCGATCAAGCGCAATAGAATTCCTTGTATCGTGCGACGAGCTATTGCTATTACTACCCGCCGTCTGTGGATTTCCCTTTCTGGGATACTGTACTATTCTACGAAGCTGATATCAGCTAAATTCATCACCACAACGCATTTCTACGACCGCTGTGCTCCTAGCTTCGATACACTGACGAGGTGCGGGTTATCAAATATATATATTTATATATATATATTTAATAGGTCCGACAAAACTTCTCACTAGTTTCTCTCATTTTGTGATTCAAGAAAAAGCTGTAAATGGGAACGATGGAGATATGTTAGGAACGTGCCTCCAGTTGATGTAACTATGTTCTATGATAGATATTTCTTAAGATAGTGAAAAACAGCTTTATGCTTTGGTATCGTCTTTCATTTACCCCTTGTGCCAAAACGCCCGTGAATGCTGGATGAGGCTATCGTCTCCTTACTGCCTTCGGGAAAGCCCTCTCAAAGGCTATGTCAACTTGCCTAGTGTACTACTATAACATACCGTCCTAGAATTCTTCAACAAGCGGGTTTAGCTTGACGCCCTTGGGCACAACAGCCAGAGCCTTGGCTTCAACGCAGATCTTCCCATGAAGTGTCTCCAGTGTACCTTCGACCCACATCTTACGATCGCTCTTAGACGGGTCCTCTCCCTCACGGATCATTGGTCGTGTGCGAATAATATAGAAACTGGAAGTCAATGTAGGCGCACGGTATTGGAGCTCGAGACGGGCAGTAACCCCCGTGCGCGCAGGAAACAGCAGTACTGCGCACCGAACTAAGCTCTCATCCAGCAATGTCGCTAGCGCCCCACCATGCACGACCCCCGGCCAACCCGCCGTCGCAGTGCCGAGGTACACCACGCTGATGACCTCGTTAGTCTTCGTATTTCGGAACACGCGCTGGAAAGGTATGCCATGGGAACCGCCTAGAGGTCCGGAAGTCAGGCGCGATTGTACCATGTTCGTGGATTGCGCGCCCGAGTACGCATCCCAGGATTTCCAGGTCGGGTCGGAGGATAATGCGCGCACGAGCGGGAGCGCGGAGCCTTCGTCCCGGATCTTGGAGACGTGGTATTGGTCCTGAGGAGAGCCGTGGGGGAAGGGCGCGGGAGGAGCTAGGGACAGGCGGATTAGGGTGCCGAGGGATAGGCCGATAAGTAGGAAAATGGCGGAGTAGTAGATACCTCGGCGGCGGCGGCGGCGGAGAGGTTTAGGGGTGGAGAGCGCGGGGTGTTCGGGCAGGATTGGGGTCGTAGCGGTGGCTGCGGCGATGGTAATAGGGTCTTGACTCTTTGGAGGTTCGGCAAGACGTCGTTGTGAAATAGTGAAGGATCTGGAATTAAGTCGGGGGAGGAATCGCGATGGTGTATCGGTACGGTAGAGTCGTATCGCGGGATGAGGGACTTGGACAAGCCTCGGATAGACGAGCCTTGCCGACGCTGCAGCCCGTAGGCAGAGCTGCGCGGTTCGGGGACTACCGACCAACATTATTAGGTAACCTAGTTCATGTGTTTGCTCCGGTACTGATTTCTTAATGTTGAAGAAGTTAATTATACGGTGTTGTAGTTCTGATTGAGGCTCTTAGGGCGTTAGGGCGTAGAGGCGTAGGGGTGAGACAGATCTTGGTTGAATGTAACCATGTAACCATGTAACCATAACCAGCTTAAGCCGAGTTGTGAGATTGATTGGTTCGATTGGATTATTACTTAATATTACCTAGGTTGACACAAAAATTATTGGGATTGGGAAGTGACCCCCACTAAGATCTTGCATTATTTAGCGCCATCTCGGGAGCCCAGTTCTGCCCAACTGCTCAGCTAGTAAGCATTATTTGTAAGCCATGAGCCAACATCTAACTAAGGCAGGCACCTCCCACTAGTACTCCTAGCGATCGTAGGAATTTTATCATTTTACAACTATCATCCCTTAATACTACAAGCCACACTAATACGCAGCATATCGAAAAAGTACACTAACCAATCCCAAGTCTATGATATCATCAAATAGTTATATGTTGACAAACCAACAATGTCGAATCAACTGCTCATAATGGCTGTAACATGCGATATAAATTCGGAAGTCCGAAGTAAAAATGGATCATCTCAATTTTACCTCTGACTGCTTGAAGAAGCTATTTCTATTAAGAGCCCACCATATCGGTTGCGCCAAACTCATCCTTTGCAGATTTCATAAGTAAAACTTTATAATCGTTACGATACGTTATGTTGTCGACTGCAATATTAGTTGTATATACGCGTTGACAAACTTACCGTAAGGCCTGGCACTCGCTATGGCCTACGATTACGCCCTCGTGTAAGTAACCACAGGAAATACTTACAAACGAGCATCTCTCTTCACGAGAACATTGAACTAATTCACCGAGCAGACATCTCAAGTACACCATACCCCCGGCTTGTCTTCTTACTTTCATTTTGAAGCCGCTTCTTACAAAGCTTGACTTGTATAAAACATTTACGTTGATACTAGTTGCTTTCTTTGCGACACTCCCCTGGGATTCGTATCTAATACGTAATGGCATTTGGACTTACCCCCCTGATGCGATAGCCGGGCCGCGTCTCTTCAAGATCCCAGCCGAGGAATTATTTTTCTTCGTTATACAGACTTATATCACGTCGATGCTATACATCTTGCTCAGCAAGTCTGTTCTCCACGCTCAATTCCTTACGAATAAGGATGATTCTTCACTCAAGTCCCGACGCATACGAATGACGGGCCAAATTCTCCTAATAGGATGTATCATCGTTGGCATCTCACTTGTCAAAAATGGAGGCCAGGGGACATATCTTGGCCTCATCTTAATATGGGCCTGTCCCGTTGCACTTCTTACATGGTCATTTTCAGGCTATTTCTTAATTAGACTACCTCCTACCTGTATTGTAGTTCCAATCGTCTTACCTACAGTGTACTTGTGGATTGTAGATGAGCTCGCTCTAGGACGCGGAACATGGGCTATTGAGTCTGGAACAAAGCTCGGCTGGTGCTTATGGGGGAGCTTAGAGCTGGAAGAAGCCGTGTTTTTCCTCTCTACCAATGTCTTAATTGTGTTTGGCCTAATCGCTTTCGATAGGGGACTGGCGGTTCTATACACTTTCCCGGAACTATTCCCTGTTGTGCCGTATATGCCTCCTCTGAGTCTCCTCGCCAAAGCTGTCCTGCTTGATCCTATAAAGTATGACATGGCACGGGTAAAAGGTATCAGAGAGGCTGTCCAGACACTACGGCGAAAGAGCAGGAGCTTCTACTTGGCTAGCTCGGTTTTCCCTGGACGTCTTCGCATTGATCTCATTCTTTTGTAAGTAAGCACTGCACCATATCTTGTCTTCCTATATTAATTGTTCCAAGATACTCCTTTTGTAGAGTAGCAGATGATCTGGTAGACGAAGCCCATGGGGAGAGCGAAGCCACACTATGGATTAAAAAGTTGACTAACTACCTTGACCACGTTTATGGTTCGGATAGTCAACCCCCATCTTCGATTGGTACTATTAATAATTTTGTGGGGGAAAACTTCCCGGAGTCAGCAAGGTCTGCATTGATATTATTACCAACAAAGCTTCTCCCAAGAAACCCATTTTATGAGCTCTTAGAAGGATTCAAAATGGACCTCTCCTTTGGTGGGACTAAAATTTGCCAACAAACTAGACAATTTCCCATCCAAGACGAAGAGGACCTCGAAGTTTATGCACACCGTGTCGCGAGTACTGTTGGAGAATTATGTCTGAGGCTCGTATTCCATCACAGTACCGCGAAACTTCCAAGCGACAAGGAATCTATTCTTGTACTTTCTGCTCGGACGATGGGACACGCATTGCAGTACGTCAATATTGCCCGCGATATCTTGGTGGACGCTGAAATTGGCCGGGTTTACCTGCCCTCAGATTGGCTCAAGCAAGAGGATTTGACAGCTCAGGATGTTATCAAAGACCCAACACAGCCAAAAGTAGAAATGCTCAGACAGAAGTTACTTGATTGGGCGTTTGAGGAGTATGAGCGATCACGAGATATCATGAACATGCTTCCCCACGACGTCCGCGGCCCTCTCATTGTAGCTGTTGAGAGCTACATGGAAATTGGCCGGGTTTTGCGAGAAAGAACTGGCGTCCCTTCAAAAACTCGTAAGGGGCGGGCAACGGTTCCTCGATCAAGGCGGATGTGGGTTGCATGGAAGAATCTTTCTACTATATGACCATTATTTCGGTTTATTTTTTTTTTATTTTTTTTATTTTTATTTTATTATTTTATTTTAGTTACATGTCTATTTAGTCTGCAATTGGTATGAGGAGCGATCTGTCATTTGGGTTGGGTAGCACTACGATAATGTGTACATGTAGAATAAAAGTGTAGATACATGCCATCCCCTCTTCTAGATTCTAACCTTTGATGAGGAAATATTATTTATTCTGATATAAGTAATAAATTACGAAAGTGGGATAATTCCTCGTGACGACTTCACAGGTTATTCGAAATTTTAAGTTATAATATACTTGTTAATTTATATCAAATATCAGCCGGACTCAACTAAGCTTCCATTCCATCTCACCGACTCGCGCCGAAACTCAAAACTTGGCATATAGGTATTAGATATGTTGTACGAAAATAAGGTAAAGACGGATTTATCGATTACGCTAGGAAATGTCTCTCTCTATCTAATGATGAATCATTATGTCGAATCCAACGCTTTTTATACATAAGCGACTCGGTGTAATTTTTTTTCTTAGCGCGGCCAGCATTCCCCTGGACGATGCGAACGATAATAATAACGTATTGAGATCGCGGGCTACGCTGCGCCTCTTTGACACGAGATTGCCGAGCGGATCGTCTGGATGCACCATCTGTCCCGGGATGTTGGGTTGGGTTATTATATCGAATCGCCAGTTGGAGTTTAGCTAGGAGACGACGTGTGATATTTTATTATATTTGTCTCAGAGGCACTGGGCAAGTGAATCGTTTACGTCTATATATTATTCTAATATCTTTGGGTACCTGATATTTGGCTTATTTCTGGTTACGGTTTATGGAATTTGTTGGCTCATCTTCCGAATCAACTTGGATACAGATACCGGTCTATCACTGTCCGCATTAATTGGGTACTTGAGATACTTATGCTGGTTGAACACTGCGTCGGACAAGAGATATGTCTAAGATAAGTAGGAAGAAAGCGATTGTTGTCGGTTAGTACACTGCATACATCATACAACTACCTTCACTAACGTAGTCCCAGGAGCCGGTGCCGGTGGCATCGCGACAGCAGCCCGGTTAGCGAAAGCCGGGTTTTCTGTAACTGTACTAGAGAAGAACTCGTTCACCGGCGGGAGGTGCAGCCTGATATTCCATGAGGGACATCGCTTCGACCAGGGACCGTCCCTCTTACTGCTTCCTAAGCTCTTCCAAGAGGCGTTCCGTGACCTAGACACGTCACTCGAGGCCGAGGATGTAGAGCTACTTCGTTGCCCAACCAACTACAAAGTATGGTTCGCGGATGGCGAGAGCTTCGAATTGTCAACGGACCTCGCGCGCATGAAGACCCAGATCGAGCGCTGGGAGGGTAAAGATGGATTCTATAGGTACCTGGACTGGCTGCGCGAGGCTCACCAGCACTACGAGCTTAGTGTTAGTGAGGTGTTGCATAGGAACTTCACAAGTTTCTGGAATTTGATAGTCCCGCACTTTGTGCTCACGGGATTGAAGCTGCACCCTCTGCATAGAGTCTGGGGCCGCGCGCGTAAGTACTTCTGGTCCGAGAGGCTAAGGCGCGTCTTCACGTTCGCGACTATGTATATGGGAATGTCACCCTTTGATGCCCCAGCCACGTACTCGCTGCTCCAGTATACAGAACTTGCTGAGGGTATCTGGTACCCGCGCGGAGGCTTCCATGCCGTACTAGCGGCTCTTGTGAGGGTTGGCGAGAGGTTGGGAGTTGAGTATCGACTTAACACGCCTGTCCAGCAAGTCCTTGTGAGTCCTGACGGGAAAACGGCGCGAGGGGTACAATTGGAAACGGGCGAGGTTCTGGAGGCGGATATAGTTGTCGTAAATGCGGATCTTGTCTACGCTTACTCGAATTTATTCCCACAGACACCAAGCATGCAGAGCTACGGCAAGTCTTTGAGAAAGAAGGACGGCTCGTGCAGCTCGATATCGTTCTATTGGAGCCTAGACCGGGTCGTCCCGGAACTTCAAACACATAATATCTTCCTCGCGGACGAGTACCGGGAATCTTTCGACGCCATCTTTGACCGGCAGTCGTTACCAAAAGAACCAAGCTTTTATGTCAATGTACCTAGTCGGATCGACGCCAGCGCAGCTCCCAAGGATCGGGACTCGGTAGTTGTGCTCGTCCCCGTCGGTCATCTACCAGAGTCGAAAGGCTTCGCGGAACCAAAGAGCGCGGGCTTGCCACGAGATCAGGACTGGGAAGCACTAGTAGACAGAGCGCGGCGGGCCGTCCTATCGACGGTATCCGCACGTACGGGATGCGAGTCTCTTGATAAGTTCATCACGCACGAGATCGTCAATGACCCAGCCGCGTGGGAAGACATGTTCAACCTAGACAAGGGATCGATCCTAGGTCTAGGCCACGGATTCTTCAACGTGCTAGCGTTCCGACCTGGTACACGTGCCAAGGGCCTGGCAAATGCGTACTTCGTAGGTGCCAGCACGCACCCCGGCACTGGAGTCCCGATCGCGTTGGCCGGCGCTAAGATCACGGCTGAGCAGATTCTAGATGACTTCCGGGTGAGGGTACCGTGGCGTGGAAATGCGGCCATGGATATGGATAAGGATCGGGGTGTTCTACAGAACGAGAAGACGAATCCACTGGATAGGATACAGCCAGGAAGTATACAGTTCTCGGTAGTACAGATGGTCTTGTATTTCTATGTTATGGCGTCGATGGTGTGGATATTGTGGTATTGGTATCCTATAAAGGGGGTCTTAACACCATCGGGTGTATAAGCGCTTGTATTAAAAGGGGGTTAATACTATGTTAGGTAACTTATTGTTGCCAACTAATTTTTATAAAACTTTGCTCATTGGAAAAGCTTTGGCTACCTACTTTATATTATATCTGTCTTTACGTTATGTTCAGACTTAGCCTTGCATTACAAGCTGCTTTAAAGCCTTCAATATCTTGTCTACCACGGCGTCTAACAAATGTAGGTACTTAATGTTGAAGCCCATGCCTAATGCCATATCTCACCAGTTACCTTGCGAGTGTAAGCCATCGCTGACATTTCCACTGTGCGTTTCTTCATCGTTGTCAGCACGACAGGTGCCGTCGGTTAGCTGTTCCTCTTGTTCTTCCAGCAGGATAGATCGCCAGGCACGAGTGTGATCTACAATGTGGTTGATATAGTCGCCAAAGCTAACCGCAGGACTGGGGACCGAGACGAGTGATTGCAGACCAGTGTCGAGGCAGTGGTAAATATGTCTCATATGCTGAATTTCGTCCTTGATTCCGAAAATTCGACAGAGCGAAGCAAGATCCATCGCCCAGTTGTAGACGCATACATCCTCAAGGCAGTCTTTCTTTGTGTAATGAGAGTTGCGGATCCGATCCTGCACCTCTCCCCTTGTGGTAGATGCTATATCTTGAGTACTATCCTCTTTTGTAAGAGAAGCAGAAATAGCGTCGCTATAGTAAATTAATTAGTGACGAGAAATATCAATTACCAATTACCAATCACTATGAACTTGGATACTCTTGATACTTACGAAACTTCCATGTGAACATATATGTCGGCGCTTAGTTGGTATATACGAGCATCGAAGTAATCGAACCGAGCATTCGTCTGATCCAGACGAGTGCTAAAGTGCTGCATATCGTCTTGTAACTTCTGGAAAACGCGCTGGATATCTCCATATTGCGCTGAGACCGAGTTGAGAAGACGCATCATTTTTGATCGATATTGAATCTAGGATGAGTATTACGGTAGGATTGACAAGACACTGTGAAATGGGGGGGGGTATATTCTAAAGAAACTATTCCGGGATATATCATAGAAATCACCTACCTAGGTAGCTAGTCAGGGCTTATAACCTAGTAGTTCTAAACTACCTTATAAAGAAGTTGCAAGTGGGATCCTCATCTGAGCGTTAGGAAAGGGGCGAGCTGCAACAAGGTGGCTGCGTTCCTAGATACGGTATGTATAGCAGTAGCATTATTTCTTAAGTACCTAGGTAGTCACTAGTGTATAAGGAAAGAGGAGAGTGGCTACGCTGACTTTAATTATTACTATTTACAAGGTAACTACTATGGTTTATGGTATTTTCATGCCAACTACTAAAGCTGATACAAAAGCGTGGATGGCGGTTATAGGGGATTACTCGATACCTTAGGTACCTAGGTACATATATGCCTAGGTACCTACCTTAGTACTACAACAATGCTCTTCATTACACCAATTCTTCATCATAGCACAGCCATCACACCGGGCGTCATCTAGTCGACTACTACACGCAACCGTCGAATAGGATTTTCCCGGCAATCCGTCTACTTTTGGAGTCGTACCTAATTGGTGACTTACCCCTTGCTTTTTTTACGCTCTACTTTCCATTGGCTCTACTGTACATTAAACCCTCCCGGCACCGGACAGATCGTACGAGCCCTAGAAAAAGAGCAAAATTACTTAGGGCATACAACAATATCTTGTCATATCAGGTTTATATCGGGCTCTTCTATATAAAGTACCTACTTCTTATGGTTTATCAATATATACCTCTTATATATATGACATTGTTACAATATTAAGTAGAACCCCATCATGTCTTTCCACGCAATCTTCGTTAGTCTTCGTCTTCATCCAATCATTCTATATCACAGCAGCTCGACTGTACATGACTTGACCTCATTAATCAACTGATATTTGGCTCGTCCAAAACTCTCTTTACTCCCGTGCCCGGCTTCTGCTCCTCTCTCGACTGCGACTTCCGTCTCTGTGCTTGTGGTCCTTAACAACAAGCAATCCTTCGCTTCTCTCTTTCTCTCTCCTCCTCTCTCTATCCTTCTCCCTTTCCCTCTCCCTCTCCCTCTCCTTCTCCTTTCGTCTATGTCTCTCCTCTCGCTCCCTTTCCTTCTCGCTTTCGCGGTCCATCTCACGTTCTTTCTCCCTAATCCTCTCTTCTTTCTCTCGATCCGATCGCTTGATCTCCCTCACAGCCTCAACTTTCTCGAAGCTCTTTACATCGTCGGGCATGCGAGTGACAACTAACTGCTGGCAGAATGACCCCCAGCCACCGCTAGTTCCCTCCTTTACGGCATCAGCTAGCTCTTCGCCGTAGCGTTCGCGATAGGCCTTCTTAATAGCTGCCATATGGTGGCGGTCCCAATGGAAGCGAACGAGACGAGAGATGAGGAGTTCCCGACGTAGTTGATCCTTCCTAGAAGCGGTGAGGGCGTGATGGAGAAGGAGTGCGTCGCGGACGGGCTTGTTAATAATTCCATTGAGGACATGAGCTAGGAGCTCGCCCTATATTGATTTGTTTAGCAGCCTATTCTCTGACCAGGGTATCAAAACTCAAGTACTTACCACGAGATTTCCGCTCTTCTTCAGCGCGTCCCTAGCGAAATTACCACCAACAACCTTCTCATAGAGCCTGAGGACTTCTCTCAAGTGATTATCGCTTCTTGAGATAACTATTTGGATCATGGCAGATTCTCCACCTCTGTCGCTACGAACGGCTTTATATAGAGCTTCAACGTCGTCCTGCACCATTTCGTGATTGATAGGAAGCCGCCGTCCGTATTCATCCACATCATCCATCCGCTTCTCTTCTAGTGCTGTGAGTACCGCACGCTTGAATTTGTCCTCCTTCAGCTCGGTTTTCATGCATAGCGTCAGTGAATCTCTGTATTTCTTATCTGAGAACGCCTCCTTAATCTTTGCGATTTCGTAGTTAGAGCGCCCCATCAGACTCTCAATTAACAACTCGCGCCGCGTCTTATCACCATGGTACCAAAAGTTGGCCCAGTACGCCTCCGACTCCCATTTTCCGAGCGCGACAGTGTAGCATGCCTTCATTAGGATGGGCTCCTCATCCTTTAGGCGAACGCGGATATGCTTAGCAACGTTAACACCCTTACGTTCGGGACCGGTCTTAACGAGTCGCTTGTACTCGACACGCAGCTCCATAATCTGCTCATGCGTCATTCCAGGTAAAATTTCAATCAGTGGCTCTGTATCAGGAGGTAGGTGATCACCCCTGAGAGCTTTAGCTAGGCGTGCCGCATCGTCAACAGGGTCATGGAAACGGGCACGACGACGCTTCTTCTCGTTGCCTTCATCAGAAAGACCCGGCGAAAGAGGTTCAATTAGGTCCGAGTTTCTTCTGGGGTCATCCGAAGCAAGGAGCAGCGGTGATGGCATCGGGGACATGGACTGATAAGTGCCATAGTAAGACTCTAATAGTGGTGATGGCGGTGCGCTTGACAGAGAGAGTGAGGCAGCATGGTGCCCCGTATTAACAGTCAAGGTAGACATCCGCCCAGTAGGTGGCTTGGATGAGTGATCTCTGCGATTACCCAAGCCGGGTTCGGCAGCAACAATTCTCGCACTCGAAGACCTAATGTCCAGTCCATAAGAATCACGCTGTCGTTGTTTATCCGGCCTGTCTGAACCCGGTGGCGTATACACCGCGTCCCCGCGGGGATATCTGAACTTATCTCCTGACCTGTCCTCTTCCCACCGACCGGGCCCAGAATAGCCGGCACCGCCAGAAGGTGATGGAGAATGGCCGCCAGAGTATTTCGTAGTTGTCGGGGGAGACACGACACTACCATAGGCTAAGTCATCTTCTAATTTTTCTTTCTTGAGTTCCTTTCTCCGCTCTTTTTCGCTCTCTGACTCGCGCAACCTGTTTGTGTATTTCGCCGGAAGTAAGGTATCGGCGCCTCGTCGCAGTGCATCCTGAGCGGCTTCTACTATATCCTTGTCGCCTTTGGACACGCGCTCTTCGCTTCGCCTTGAATAGCGTCGGTCATCTTCCGATGTGATAGAGTCGCGGCTAGCGCGGTAATAACTGGACTCGTCTGTAGGTGAAGCTGGGCGGTATGAACGGCGAGGTGTTGTGTCATCGTAGCTATATCCAGCAGGTGGAGAGGGCATGCGCACTGCGTCAAGAAGAGACGGGGAACTTTCACGGCCGCGACGGCGGTCATAACCTTCATCAGCACGTGCTGGAGAAGGCGTACGACCGCGTCGTGCGCTGTCGCCGACGTTTAAAGACATGTCGGGCAGACGCAGATGGCGGATAGACGCGCGTGCAACTTAAACAGGCGGAATCCCCCGAAGCGCTCCCGTTGTTAGGTAGGTAGTTATAAGATTGCGGGGTATCTGTCACCGAATAGTGGCCTAAAGTTGAGGTCGGTCTTGGCCCAAGCTGAATTTATTATGTTTTAGTGAAACTTAAGATTTAATTTGTCTAATTTTAGGTTGGGTTTGATAGAAGTATATTGTGATCTCGTATTGTGAAAGACGAAAAAATAAAAAGACAAGGGAAAGAAGGAGAGAAGGTTTTAGGAACGTAAAAGTAAAAGCTGAGACAAAGCTATTGTTTAATATCCCTACCTAACCTAGTTGGAAAAGGAATGTGCGAGGTGCATGAGTGCCTTGCTTGTCTGGCCTTGTCCGTCTCCGTCTCCGTCTACGTCTGCGTAGAGAAGGCGTGGTGGTGTACCTGCCTCGAAAAAGAAGTTTGTTAGTACTCCGCCCGTACATATGCAGCTTAGCATTAGTTACATGATACCTTGTAGTACGAAGAAAACGTTCATCCCGTGAGATGCTTCCAAGTTCAAAAACACGGGCATAGGTGCAGCCCTAAACCAGCCTAGACCCAACAACCTTCCACCCTTCCACCCTCCAACGGCTAGTTGCTGTCGCTAAGCTGCGAAGTCCAGGAAGACCCATCCTATATTACCATATTGGGGGCCAAGCTGCTGCGTACCTACCTGGTAGTAAAAAAAAATTAAGATCCAATAAGCAGTGGCGAAGTTGTCAACAACCCGCAATAAAATGGTCTCGTGTGTTATTCTTGACCGGAATCATTCTACGTATGGCTATATATTATGCGCTTTATCCTCGATCGTCGCATCACTACAGCTTCGCGTATATGTACGTGCTTAGGTATGTCTACCTATGTATGTATGCATGTATGTATGTAGGCTAATGTGGGCATATGTAGGTACCTAAGCTATATCACAGCATTACATATACAACAAAGCAATGCTAATGTACATATGAGTAGGATCAAGGGTGTTGAAATGGCGGTCTCAGCCCTTCAGTTGACTTATCCAATAAACATCACGGGCTTTCGAACTGTATCCTATCGCGTGGCGACCTGAATTATATACATAGTAGAGCTGACCTCAGCTTTTGTAATGTTGCAAAGTGTTCGCGGCGATCGCGTGTCAACTTTGCAGCCTGAAGTTGTGAACGAGTAGCACAGAAGCACAGGAGAAATATTCACCTTGAGCCACTTATCGTTAGAAAGGTAGTAATTGTACGGTATATGTCGTGGATCATTGCATGCTTCAGCTGCATTAATGTATTCGAGGAGACGTCAACTCCCCAATCAAAAATCTTCCTATGCAACACTACTGGTTTGGTGCCTGCGCCTCTTACTGGTGGCGTTTCCAGATCATGATATTCGGCATTCTTATAGTATCGCCGGGAATGCCAATTGGATAGCCTCACGCTTGCGTGCAGGTATCCGCACGAACCGCTCCGACGATGAAGATGGCGAAGTATCCATCCGTCATGTAGAACAAGTTCCATAGGTATGCATGCGTACAAATCGGTATTTAAAATCAAGATGAGTCGCATGAGTCGCATGGAGTCGCATGTCGATGGGCTATGATGGTCAATTTCTTACCTATTCTGTACCTTTACACATGCTATTCAACGGGTCCATAGGATAATTCTGACTACGTGTATTACCATCTGGTCTAAACCCAGGCCTTTCAAGTCACCGGGACCAATTTGGAGATTCACTAATAACGTGCAGACTTAGTAAGAACAGCATCGTATGTGGAGGCACAATGAGACATGGTGTTACCGGTGGTCAATGGTTCTAGACTCCCGCCATTCCATGGTGTGACGAAGCTCATTGCGTGGATTTCTCTTCTCAATTGATGAATCTACTTCATCTATACCAAATTCTGGCTATTCTCCTAGGTATTTGTACAGTGTCCATTGTCCTTTGAGACGGCTTGAATGACCATCTAGGTGTTGTCTACCGCATGACCGAGATTTTCGAACACTCCTCGGTACCCGAACTTTGCCAACTCATATTATTCACGCCCGACGCGAATCGATCTGATAGTGCATTGTCGCAGTGACATCGTAATCAGCTCCCTTGATGAAACAAGTCTCAATACCCTAGAGCATGCCAGCTCAGATTCCTGAACGCCAAGACCCGGTTATGGTATCATAAAATAAAATAAAAGCAAACCCCCTGACCCCCGTATCTTTTGACTTTCATCATCGGCAATGTTATGACTTGACTCCGTCGTCGGAGTAGACTGACGTATACGCACCTGGCATGTGAATCTGTCTTGAGGATTGGTCAGGGGATGCCATTTCTTTATCGTCAAGACGGATCTCCCGCTTCTTGAATGTCCGGAGAGTGCAAACCCTATACCAAAGTTAGTTACAGAAGTAAATAAATTTCTAGGTGTGAGTGTGCTATACCTGTGTCGAAGCGCTCTCGAAAAGATAGCCATGAGGATCATGACCGTGGCGGCAACGGGAAGTGCAAGTACCATTGTGTCTGCAGCCTTACGCACGCAACGGAAACGCAAGACTTTGTCTTGAGATACGTAGGGAAGATACGTCCACGATTCACGCTCTGCTTTAGTTTCAAGCTCCACAATGGTTTCCTGTGGCTCGGCTTCCATCATATTTCCGCGAGTCTCCTCTCTTATGATACTTGACTCGGGGAATGGTGATTGCTTCTTCGGGCGGGTTAATGATGTAAGAAATGCGAGAACGTGAGGAGTTTCCCAAGATTTAGCCCCGGCGAGGTTTTCTGGTAATTGGACGCGTTGGCCATCCTCTGCGACGACGACGTTGTTGTGCTTCTCAATTGATATTCGTGAGGGTGTAATGGAGGAAAAGAAGAGGGCTGTTCTCGATAGAAAATCCGTTTGTTTTGCTGTCTGCTGCATGTGGGTTGATGCGACGACATGCGAGGTCTTCTCAAGCGTAGCTACAGGTGCTGCGAGAGCCCATGTTGCGAAGGCGCAGATAAACAATGCAGGTGTAGATCCTTTCATGGTGGGTTACTGATTTTCCTTATTTTCCTTATTTTTAAGATGAATTGAGTATGTTGAAGCTTTTGATCTACACGGTAAAGTCAACAAGCGTAAATGGTGAGAAATGCGAAAGAATAAGTATTCTAGAAGAAGAAAATAACTTAAAACATGAGCGAAACAGTATTCAAGGATAACATACCTTCTTCGTCTAAGCAACTACTGCGACAACGTTGTCGATGCGGTAGCAGTGATGAAATCGTCGTAATTCTGTAGGGGTAGGGTGATACGTCGGCGGGTAGGTGGATAGCTGAAGCTACAGGTAGGTTTGGGGTTTTTCTTGGCGACCAGGTTGCTGACGGCAGAGGGCTTCAAATATGTAAGGAACGCCGAGCTAGAATGAGGAGATTTGTAGCACGTCGTTTTATCTGGTACTATGTAGTGGGGTGACTTAAAATAATGGGAGGATATACGAATTGACCATGGGCTTTTGATCCAAGCTTTATTAAACGCTTGAACGCTTGACAGGTTTTGGTGGTCACACGCCGGCAACTCGGACGTAAATTCAATGGAAAAGAAGAAATGGAGGTTTGACCTCTCTTTTTGTAAGTGATACAACATCGAATGGGTACCAGTTTGGCAGTTACCAGCTAGTGGCATGAAAGAGATCCATGCCTATTAGAGGTGTAGGAGTTGGGGTTTAGCGACTAACAATGGTAGATCAATTTATTAATATGCGGTTAAAGCTGCTCGTCCGCATTTCCACACTTCCCCCCCTTGTGTAGTGTAGGTACAGTGTTCAGTGTATTATTCCGCTGATGGAGCAGGAGACTTTGCTCATACTATGTATTCTCGACGTTCCATATCTTTAGTACAGGGTTCTACAAGCATGGGCAAGTTCGTTAGTATGTCGCACCAAATCACCTTTGGTATTAGTTTTCTATGATTGTAACTGTAAGTGTAAAACATGTAACATGTGAGCTTCTATAATAGATCTTTGCATTTGAATTCTTTTGTTTCTTGAGATCAACCATCATTGATCAACGCTAGGATGATAAATCGATAATTGGTTATGACGGCAGAGGAAGGCTGCGCCTCGCTAAACCTTTCCCAACCACACACGTAAACATACAGACACATCCCGCGTCATATTCGTAGCTACCGATATACCCATCGGGCTTACTAGCAATTCACGATAGGATTCGGAAAATCAGGAAAATCAGGAAGATCAGATCAACGCATCCAACATAAAAGTTTACCTAACATCCAGTTACGGAGGCACAGCAGTTGCATAGCCTATTTCCCAAGAGGTCCACCCGTCCACGCCTTATGTGCTTTAAGCTATTCCCCCCCTGGGCCAATGACCTTTAAGCGGCGACCGAATCCGGTAAAAGTCAAGTGGAGACCTTACATAAGGGTCGATTTAAGTATCCATGTACCTACTAGGTGGAGGCTGGATTCCATTTATAGCCACGTCTAGACTCTCGGCATTGTGAAAAAGGTATCGGCTTTTTTTTTTTTTGGCTATGGTAGCTAACTAAACGAATGAGGCTTCAATCTGATAATACTCTCTCATACAGGCTCTTACTTACGCAAGTAAGTAATACGACAGGTAGGACAGCAGAGATATTTTGTTTGATGCCACACATGCACCTAGCATGTGAATATTTGTGTATCCTTTATCTTATTATATTCCACCACATGTGATAGGCTATAGAAACCAACAAATGCCAGCGAAATACCTCAAGTAATAAATTTCTTGGATGCCTAGACATGAGCTTAAATCACGTTGAATAAACATCGGAATTCGGATTGATAGTCCTATGTAGTCTTAGTATCCTTGTCTAGCATCGAGCTCCGGACGAATCTAAAAGATGATCTCCTGAACACGACATGTTAGATCACTAAGAAAGATGAAGTTAAGCGTAATGTGCTCCGCGGAGACATCCGCTTTTTACTAGTACAGGGCATGTTTTGGTACCACACGATATATCTATCAAGTTTAAGGGCTAGATGTCTCGTATCGTGTAATTAGAGTTTATAGTAGCTCAAGTAGCTTAAGTACGATAGCCGTGTCAGTTCCCTCATCCTTTAAGACAGCCGAGAGCTAAGGACTATATTGGAAGGTGCAGCGCGAACTATAAGGGGTAGCTTAGATCTAGCTAGCTACTAAAATCTACAGGACCCAGCCCTACGCCAGATTTTCTATAATAACATTGTCAGTAGCAGGTTTTTTTTTTTTTTTTTAAATTTTTTTTTTTTACTTCTTGTCCTACTTCTAACTTCACTTAGCCATATACGTTATAGTTATATGACGATTTTCATGTGTGGGCTATTGTGACTTAAACTCTTTTACTAGTATGCATGTCAGAGACATGATATTAACTATATATCACGTGGATAAGCAACTTATAAAGAGAAACGCTAGATTAGCATCGGCTTAAAATCCTTTACTATAGATAGATATGACATGGTATAGATGGATAGGCTATAAAATTTCAGTGAATGTCTATCCTATGGTGTGAAAGTTAGGGATTGGGAGAAATTAATGTATTTGTTGGTGACAGAGACTGCTTTCTATAACGGGTCTCGGCATTGCCGGTGATTATTTAGTTGCGGTTAGGTACCTACCTTATGTAGGTAGCTACTGGTTGGCTAGTCCGTGCATAAGGTTCCACCAAGAATTTGCTTATCCGGGGTCGCAAACGCTTATCCATCCTTCCCACAAGCCTACCTACCTAAGCTACCACCTATACAACTTATGTGGTCATATTACAACATCGTCCTTCGCAGCATCGCAGCATCGCAGCATGTATACTATGGCGAGGCTGTAGAATAGCCCGCTCTGTAGCCTCATAATCAAACATCACCCCATCAATTGGCCGCGGATATAGTTAGAGATGTCTCATCCTTCCAATCTAGACTCGTCTACCACAACAGAGGTACCAAGGCACGAACGAGATGGACCTCAACCTGGATTAACACGCGCCGCCACTTTACCTATCGAATTTCATTCGCAACGAACTGATCGTTCTCACCTAGCTCCCGAGGACGCTTTCAATGCAGTACGACCCTCGCGACGACAATCAGGCTTCGAGCCCAACGGAATCAACGAGAGCCGCCCCGAGTCTCGGTCTCGGAAGATGAACTCTAAGCTTGGGAGTAGGAGTAGGAGTAGGCGGCGGAGACGCACTTGGAAGAAATTATTATGGGTCAAGCAGTCTTGTATGGAATTACCCTTTGGCTGACGACACCCCATTGCGCCGCTGTTAACAGCTATCTCCAGACCCAGATAACTACACGGACCAGGCCACGTTCCTGGAAAACCTGCAGCGGAACCCGCGTCTCCAGCCCTATGAATTCTGGCTCCTCGTCGCCGACTCAACCGTTATCTTGCAGCAAGTATGCTCCGTCATCGTATTCGTCGTCTGTTTCGTCGGAATATTTCAAGAGCGCGTATCTCCTGTCGCCGTTGTAGGTTGGGGTAGTTTTGCGACATTCGTGGGGTGGCTACTATGGGACTTCTGGGTAGGCCAGGAAGACGAGGACGAAGTACTACAACGGCGCCGCAGCAATCGCAGCCGCTCTATACGGGAGCCTAGTAGGAGAGGTGGTTCCATTGTCGCAGGGGGAACTAGCCAGTCCGCCGCGAGCTCGGTGACGAATTTAGCTGTCACAGAGCGGTGCTCCCAGGGGAACCCAATCGCTATGCGGCAATCTCATTCCACCTCTGCCATTTCCCTCCAGTCCAGCATCTCGCAAGCAAGTAATGTAGGCCGGAGATCTTCCGAGTCCATTGATATGCCAAGCCATCGTCCCTCATCTCCTCTTCGGAACGGGAGAGCAAACCTTCGCCTCAGTACCGTTAAATCCGCCATTCTTATTTATTTTACCCTTTTGGGTCTATCGCCTATTTTGAAGTCCCTTACTAGGTCTACGTCATCTGACAGTATTTGGGCCATGTCTTTCTGGCTCTTGGCGATTAACATATTCTTCTATGATTATTCGTCAGGCCCTGTGAAGTTCCCAGCCTCCCTATCGACTAACGCAGCACTAATGGCGTCTACGGTGCTAGCATCTCGCCTACCTTCTACCGGGCAGGTTTTTAGCCTCACATTATTCAGTATCGAGGTGTTTGGTTTGTTTCCCGTCTTTAGACGCTACGCTAGACATCGGAGCTGGAAGTATCACGTTACGCTCTCCATACTACTTGTGATTGGAGCTGGAGGTGGAGTTGGCTTAATAGTAGGTGAAGAAAAGGATGTTGTGTGGCCGTGGAGAAGTGGGCTCCTAGGTGTCATGGTAGCAGCTATCATCGCTGTCGTTGCCATGGGCGGGTGCAGTTGGTGGCTCATTGGGCTTCAGAAGTATAAAAATGCTATTAATGGTCCTTGGGATCAAGCAAGGCCGATCATTATTAGTCGACGGCTTTGGGATGACGAATAGGATAAAAATAAATGATTTTATGATTGAATCAATAAACGCTCACTTTCGGGAGACATTAAGCTACGTGAATGTGTAATAGGTAGACTAACAAGTAGATTTTTTTTTTTACTACCGTTGACTATCTAATTAGCTACCAATAGTTATAGTCTTCTATTGGCAATAGGAACTTGTAGGACTATTCCTCTCCTTTGCAAGGTATGGCTACTGTAAGTTTGAGCCCGTGGGTTAGGTATTGTAGCTCTGCCCCTTTATAGGGTGGTCCCGAAGGAGACCCCCGAAGGGTTAGGTTAGGTAGAATGATACTCCGTGTGGATTATTGGGATTGTACTTCGTAATAGGATAGGACAAGCCGTCCTGTCGGGATAAGACAAATGCGCTAACCCTATCAGATCAGTATATGAAGGTGGGGGAGGTAGGGGAGGTACTTGTTCGTGCTACACACCTTACCTAAGGTACCTAGGTTAGGTACTTACGCATCATCTACATATACATCTACATATAATATAAATGCACTCAACTTGAATAATATTTTCTTAACTAGTACCTTAGGTATTTATTATGTTAGATCTCCAAAGATTTATTAGAGAATAAAAAGCATTAATGAAGACATTAGCAACTTCTTCACCTCTGCCCATTCAGACATAGTAATGTAATCCTCTCTCATAGTTAATAGTTTAGTTCGTAACAGTTTGTTTCCGAAGATCTGATATCTTTACTTCCCGCTGCCGCTCGCCGCCTCCCATATACGATCCCAGTCTTTCAGCTGTTCACCCATCCGCCTCTCCGATGACATGCCCATTGCGACTTGTTCGTGGGGTTGTCTGTCTGTCACGAACCGGAGGAGAGTGGATGGTTCGGATTGGGCAGATTTGTCGCTGATTGGCTGCACGGCTTTCAGGGTGCTGGAAGAACCACCGAATGTGCTGATGCTAGTGCTGCGAATGCTCATGAGCCACTATGTACGCTGCAGGGCTTATATCTCAATACAGCACTTACCTGTTCTTGTCCATGATTACCGGTCGTTCGGGGTCCAAACCCACTATCAGTTTTATTTATGATAAAAACGTTTTTAGCTTTAGTAAAGACTTAGGAATTAATACTTAGATTAATATCTTTAATATTGAGATCTGTCGATGTGGTCTACTAGAGGAATTCCTCGCCGGAAAGGGCGGGAATGGCTCCCCTTTATATATCGACGTTCATACGAGTCAAGTTTAGAAGAGACGACAGTCTATGAACTAGTAAAAAACAAACACGCATAGCAACCCTTAACTGGGGAGTCATCAGAGTCCCAAGAATCATAGATGCCTACATGACCAGGCCTTGTGTCCCTTCCAAGCGTTCCCTCAAGGGCTCTGCCTTGCCACCTAATGCGGTATCTGCTCCCTGCTAATAGCCTGTACATAAGGAAGGGTACTGACGCATCCGTGAAGCAGTAGTCCTTGAGAGCCTCAAGTACTTGACGTGTTTGTGTTAGTTTAGCTAGGTTGGCGGAATTCAGGTCTTGGTGTAACTGGTTTGCCTGAAACACCCCTGAAAATGTGGAAGTGAAGCCTGCTGCACTTATACATCAGACGGGAAGGTAAATTGACAATCACATAGGACTTCGGTAGCATTAACATAGAATAAACCCCAGAATCGCGGGAAGCTATACTAATACGGAATGACTAGATCTAGTAACTGAAGCATCTAGTATAATTACGAGATTCAGGACAAACTCCTTGTTGGCATATTTCCGGTATTGGCAGGTAAAAATCTGACGAATTGGTAGTCACAACGCCTATTATTCTCTTGATACTTCAATTAGACGCTCGAAAGTGTGGTGTTAAGGAGCCTGGTGGCGATTATCTATCATGCATCTGGGGAGTATACATTCATAGCAGATCGCGAAGAGCCATACGATCAGTAGACGAAGGGGGCATTATTACTCGCAAAACGGTTCTCGTGGTGTAAACCGAGTATTCATCATTCATATCTCGTTAATATTGCCAATGTAAATCAGGCTTGTAACTATTAAATACAGGGTAGAAAACGTTCCATCATTAAAAATATTCCTGGCCTGATTCGTCATATAGAACTCTCTTACTCCTATGGTCTTCTGGCTCAGAACTATTAGAGTCCTTGCGCCTTTTCCTAGAATCATCTTGGGGCCTGTGATGCTTACGTATATGGACGCCTCGGTTGTCTCGTCGACTGTAGACTTTTTCGCAGTACTCACACTTATAACTAGGGGTCCCGTGAGTAGATATGTGCTTATTGAGATACGCTCTGGCATTTTCTTTTTTGCCCTTAGGCCTATACTCGCAATGGGGACATTGCTGACTTTCATTTGACGAATCTGATAAATCTGACCCTGGCGATTGCTCGGTGCCCGAAGATGGAATTGCTGAGTCTGGGGAGGAAAGAGTGTTTACAGGCATAATATCTCGGAAGTCATCCTTTTTCCAGACGACGGTGGATGCTTCAGGATTCAGAAGCGATGGCATGTCTGTCGAGGACATAGACGACGGCATGCTCTCGAGGGCTGATAAGTTCATAGTGTTTATAGCTTCTGCATTGCTAGCATTTTGACAAGCTATACCTGCCCAAAGTGGAGTATCCAGAGTAGGTTCTAAATGATTCGTCTGAATAGTTAAGGGATGGCCTCGTGGTTCGCGAAATCCTCTTTGATCGTGAGGTACCGGAGGCATGGATAGATGGCTGGATGGAATGTTATATAGCTGTGTAAAGGTGGAAGGTTGCCAGGTGTTGGATATTGCTTCTGTGTTGAGAGGCCCCTCAAGAAATCCAATGCACTGACTATCTGCTGGTGGGCATTGATGTTCGGAGTCATTGCTGGAAGATGACGTTGAAGACTCAATAGAGGCTGTTGGCGACATATCTGTAAGACGTGTCCTAGCTGGGCTACCGGAAGGTAGCTCTATGGGTGGACTGGGAGCAAGGGAGCAGTTCGATACGGCGGAGGAGTAACCATAGACCTCGCTCTGATTTAAACGATATAACGCCGCATCCTTATGGTCCAAAGGTAAAGACGCCGCTTGTAGTTCAAGTAGCGATGTATCCATAAGTTCTCCTCTTTGTGTACCATTCACCTCCTGCGGCATCTTGATTCCAGCGGAGTTGAAAATGGGACTGATCGAAGACTGACTGATGCGTATTCCAGGCCATTGAGACGGACCTTCTTTATGCGCTACTGACTGACCACATTCTTTACAGTGTCCAAAGCCAAGCCTCGAGGGTGAACGAGGACTGACAATACCCTTGACTGTATCGACCGTAGCCTTGAATGTATTTTGGAGCCTTTGTCTCATCCTTGGCCGATCCCATGAGCACTTCTTGTTGGAGGTCGTTTGGAATTTCTCGGCGTCGTTACACTTGAGTGACAATAGTTAGCATTTTATTCTCTCCAAGATCAAGAGTTTTAGTTGTATTTCACAAGTATCGACTCCTTCAATTAACTTGAACGAGAAACCTACAGGCAGGAAGTGTACGGGAAAAAAAGGGGAAGGGGAGGGGAGGGGCAACATGAACCCACAATGTAACATACTGTTGGGCATCGATAAATCCCTTGCGGGAAGTATTTACAATCTTTGAGGTGTAGTAACATATATCTAGCGTCGGTAAAACTGTGAACCTTTAGGGTGGGCGCATTTGGGTCTTGTGATTTTTATTAGTGGTATATCTTATTCGCTCTTCTGGCATCGATTTTAAGAGTGGCTAGGCAGAGCCGCTACGAAGAACTTAGGAGGTGATTTAAGGGGACAAGCAGAACATAGGCGCTTAGTAGGGCTAGGCGGGATTATCGAGCTTGTCACGAGGACTTCTTTTTTGTAATATTAGAGGATCTAGTGTTATCACTCTTCGCTGGGTGGACAACAGTGCGATTTTACTCTCTAGGTCCTGCGAAAGCGGTTAAACTGATGACACATGGTCTTACTTGGGAACATGACAGTTTACTCTAGAGGCAAGTATTAGAAGTAATAAAGGCGATAAATAAATAGGTAGGTACTCTATTCAATGGCGACTTTATGTTCTTACTATAAGGTGTGAGCAACATAAGTCGAGAATATGAGATATGCTCAAGATAATCAAGGAACTCCAGATGCCGGAGAAAGGTATCTTTAGTTAGATAAAAGAAAAAGGATACGGTAACATCAAGCGGCGCCCCATACGCCACATCGTAAGTTATAATATCCAACGACAGTTCTCTTTGACATGTAAGCCTTATATTTATTAATTATTAAATCGAGTAGTTAAACTAAGACGTGAGGTTTATGTCATGTAGTCAAATTATATCGATGGCCTTGTTTATGACATTATGGATCATCTGCTGCCTCTGTATTGAGTACCGAGGCTTAAGATTCTCCACAAACTTCGTACGGTAAGGACAGGAGTATTTCTAGATACTATTAGTTCTTGCGACTAAAGTACATTCTAAGTTTATCGCAATTCAAGCACCAACCAAGTCAATGTATGGTTGGTTACCTACCTAGAGTGTATAACATACCGATTCAAACATCAAACTAGATCTATGTGAACATATCATAATTCATCAACAATGTCTTAATACCTTCCATATATTATTCCTTGTCCTGGTTATATACTTCTTACTCGTAGTATATGGCTAACAAGGCAAAGATTTTGTACACGACAATCTCCGAAATCGATATCCATCATACAAACAGAAACCTAACGTATCTGGAAATTACAGGTTACTATGCTAGAGCCTGGTGTGAAATTAATGGTCAACATATACAACATCGATTCGATGACAATATGCTACTGTTGGCTCATCACGGCATTGATCTGATGCTGTAGAATGGATGTATGACGTAGAAAGATGACTATTACAGGCCGTATATCCAAAATAGTGAGGGGTTACTCGATATCCCTAACTTGGAATTTTTACGGTAGCTATCTAAGATGTGATGTTAAACTGTCTCGCACGCACAGATTTTATTAAACATCTAGTGGTTAGGTATAATGTAGATAAATATCAT